GCCTCAGTCTGTCACATCACATCCAAACTGCAACAAATACATCTGTGGGGGGAGAAGCCAACCTGATAGGACAGGGATGGACCACCCCCCCACCCTCCCATTAACCATGTCCCAATACAACCCCAGGAAAGGGCAGATTTGGTTCTGTATTACTGACTTGAGGTCACTTTAAAGTGATGCTGAAAAAGGGAGGCTGGAAGCCAGGACAGGAAACGAAGTCTCACTGCATTCAGAAAGCACCACCCCAATGTATAGATACTTAGGGGCTGGACGGACAGGATGGACTGCTGTAACTAGGAGAGCATCTCACAGCTGGTACTGTAAGAAGTAGTAACTATATGGTGACATCTTTGCTTTGACTTCCCCCTTTACATATTTCAGACTCTTTGACTTCAGAACTGCAATGATAAAGAGTTAAGAAATAAAATAAATAGATAAAGACAAGTATTATGATTGATACAGATAATATCACGCTGCTTTGGGGATAATATCTTCTCTCTCGTGCAGCTAAACCAGCAGGTGATGGCAACTGTACTCATTAGTCTCTGATTCAAAAAGAAGCTCTCTGTGTAGGCGTACCTTCATGCAACTGCAATCAGTATCAGGGATCTTGCTTACATAAGAAGACTTGTGTAACAAAAAACAATTTCAAATCAATGCATGTGCTCTTTTTGTTAAACTGATTTAGTCAAACAGATGAAGATTCTTCCCTTGACTATTCTGGATATAATTTAGATTTGCTTTTAAGTAAGTTAAGCTAATGAGTTTGGCTTACCTCAAACTGCGTGTCAACAGTGTGCAGTGTCAATTGACACAGATCACACAGAAGCCACCAGAGACTTTTTTTGCAGAGATTTTCACTAACACACGTTCACACAGCATGGATGCATTAAAACTGGTTATGCTAGCTTTAAACTCATCTAATTCAATCTGTTATCAGACTTAGCAAGATTAGTTTGACTATGGGTTTTAATGCTTCCCATTCTGTTTGAAACACCCTAGGAAGAGTTAGAAAATATTTTCTAAATGTACCTGTTTTTCCACTTCCTTTTCCTCTGGCAAGTGACAATTATTTTTTTTTTCTTGCATCTTTCATGGAGCTAGAACTACATGCCTGCATTTTTCTGGGCCTAGTGAGAGCCGCAATAATGTGCCGACAGTGCTGCACACTGCTAGAACAAACATCTCTGCCGGCGTCCCTGGGTCACTGCCTGATGACAGTGCTGCTCCAGGGAGTCCTGCTAGTTCCTGAACTGCTGCGTTACAGCCAGCCAAGAGGCTGCAAGGCACGGGGGAGGTGAAGACTGGCACCCCTCAGATCTGGGCATGCACATGCCCTTGGATAGCCTACGCCTCAGCTGCGGGTCTCCCTTTCCTGCTAAGCAGCAGAGAGGTCCCACGGTGGCCTGGAGCTGCGACAGATATGGAGAGATGCTGTCAGCTGCGTGTTCCCGTAGGTCACGGTAGCTGTAAGGGCTCCTCCTGATCGGAGTCATCAGGCTACAGTCAGAGCACAGCACCTCCTGGCTCACCCCACTGACATGCAGCCCACGCTGGAGCGGGTAACCCTGACCTCACAACAAGTCTGATTAATAGGGTTAGTTAATAGCAACAACGACTACAATAGCAATATTAGTAAGGAAATAACCGCTTATTTCCCTTCCTTGTGGGAGTTACCACAGAGGCATTTGGGGTTTTCTGTGACCCACAGAGTGCTGCAGCCAGGTCCAACCTCTGCAATTTGTTCCTACTCTTTCCTTATTCTCCTGATTGTTCCTCAAGTGCATTTATACCCAGAATGAGTAACGATACCCCTTACCCATCCCATAGTACTGAGCGAGTCTTCCCTGAGTGAGGAGGGAATAAGTCAGGGGGTAAGCCGTGGGAGCTGGCAGTATGCCCAAGGACTTCCATTTTGCAAGAACGAGCCAAATTTACTCATCTAGCATTGTCACTTAACAAATCTGCAAGGGTAAGGGCAGTAATGGGCTCTTCTTTGCATCACTCCAGACCACTGGCTTCCGTGACTGAGTGGAACAAGTCAGAAACGTGTTCCTAGATTTCCCAGACTACTGCTAGTTAAACAGAAGGCTCTGCATGTCAGGGAGATGAAAGCCACAATATCTATTGGGGTTGTATTCAAACATGCTAGAACTGGTCTTTCAAGGTAATTATACTTGTTTACTGGAATTGAATATACATGTCTCTACAAGATGCCTTACAGAAATAAGGCTTATCTAGCAATCTAAAGATCTAGATGTATTTAAGTAACGATTTTTTTAATCAAAAATAAAAGTTTTCTTTGTAGAAACTGGTCCCTATAAAATAGAAGGCAATGATGGATTGAGTGTATATTGACTATTGATTTGGAGTGTTTTGACATGTAGTTGGATTTGATTGGTAAAGTGGACTAGTTTGGTAGCCTTATTATGGGATGCTCAATATGGTGTTTGTTTATGCCTGTGCAATGCTTTTTTGGAGGTTTTTTTTCCCCTCCCTCTGTATAACAAACAGAAAACAATTTGATTATCGCAAAAGCTCACTGTTGAGGAGAATAAGCCAATTGTAAAACATGGCACAACCCCTCACTGGGCAGTGCAAAGGGGCTCTGTGCAGCAGTGGGTGCCAGCAGGAAGGGGAGGGTGATTCCTAGCTAAGAGACTGGTATAGGAAATCTGGATGAAATTTTTGCCTCTTCCACATATGTTTCCTATGGCAAGTGACTTCACCTACTGCTGTCTCAGTCCCTGTTGAGGAAGTGGATTATATGCTACCTTCTGTCACCACATTTTTATCTATATTTTTGTATATAGTTTCGCTTGTATGGCATTCTACCTCTTTTATCGTTATAAGATTTTAGGGACATGTTAGTAAGCATCTCTGCCATGCACTATGGAAGAGGTGCTGTCCCTCAGAGGCAACTAAAGATTCTCTTGTATTACTAACAAATAATTGTAACAGAAGAACTAATTAAAGAGTTGAGAGGAAGAAAAGTATAGAAGGAGGCTAAAACCTCCTTGTCTAAAGAATTATATTTTGTTTTGGTTTTGGTTTTGTTTGTTTTTTTTTTTTTCTGTAGGCTTGCTAATGTCAGTATTTTCTCAGAATCTGAGGTGTTCACAGTTTACATATTCCACTGACACATATATTTCAGACCTCCTGAAATACACAGGCTTATTTCTCTAGTCTAATCTCTTGTTCTCCCTTTAACAGGCAGACTGTGTCTGGCCATTTGGGAAATAGTTCATAATTCCATGCTTAAATAACTGGCTTTTGATAAAGGTCCAACACAGTGCTCTGAGAGTGGTTTTGTTTTTATGGATGGAGCAGACAGAGTAGAATGATGTTGCCTGCATACTAAGAAACTTGGCCTGAAGCCCACACACACTAAAGGCAAAATAAATAAATAATCATATCAATCAATCTTGACGTCACCAGGAAAAGGGTCACTGCCATGTGGAACGAGACATCTGCACAGTGAAGTCACTGCTCTGGAAGGATGCTACTGAACAGTTCACATGCTCTGCAGCACAATAGGATAAAATGACAGTCAAAAAAGAAAAAAAGGGGGCGGATAAATTCTAATTCATGCTAAGTGAGCGGAGATTTAAAGAAGGAGCTTCATACCTTCTGCAAACCTGTTCGTGCATCTAACTTTTTCCAGATGGAAATCTCCCATGATTCCAATGCCACCCAGGCACGCAAATAAGACCGGCCTGTCATCTCCCATGACACTGTCCATTACATTTTCTGAACCAGCTCTGGAACATGAAAGAGCAGGATCTCACCACGCAACTAAAATTAAAACATGTGGAGGAAGACCCTCTCCACAGCCCTGCGTATTCCCATGTGCAGAGATAAAGAAGATGCATGTGCCCAGGTATTTGCGTTACCTGCAGCTGTACACAACCATACACACACATACACAAAATGACAATTGTTCAGAGTAGCCACAGCAACAGACCAGTGCAGCCTTTCATATGAACCTTGCCTTCCAGGAAATTATTTTTAAATGCACTTACAGGAAAATGCAAACTGTTCTGTTTAATAAACTAAAAGGTTCTAAGGAGGAGCAACAAGAAATGTCTGCAGGGAGACCCCTTGATAACTCTTTCCCCTGTACACACAGCGAACCAACTTGCCTCTGCAGGCTATTGTCTTTCTTTCCCTCAGTCCCCAGCCAGGCACAGTATTGAAACCAGCAGGAGACTGTTAGCGATGGAAGCCCTGATCTTCCCTTTGTAGCATCAGGACATCCTCCCCCGTCCGAACACCTAGCCAGGATGCTCCGGGCACAATGCAGCATCTGTACCCAGAATGTGAAGGCTCCTCTCCAGCCCTGGGCATTTCTGAAACGGCCTGATTTAAATGCAGCACAGCCGAGACAGGAGTCTTTGTTGTCATAGCCCGGATTCCTTCAAGACCGCTAAAAAAATCCACCCTCCGAGAGCTGGGAATGTGACCGCATGGAAAACGACTGTATTTCTTAGCACTGGCTCTCCGGGCGGTTTAAATCAGCACTGTCCAGCCGCTCCCCGTAGGGTGATGCCAGTTTACCCAGTTACGAATGGGATCCAGCGCTGGTTGGCGGCTGGCTGCTACAATTTGTATTTTTTTTAATTTTGTTTTTTGTTTGTTTGGTTTGGTTTTTTTTTTTTTTTTTTTTTTTCAGTTGCAAAGCACCCGAACCGAGCGGGGTAACAGAGACGAGGATGCCGCGCCCGGGAGGGCAACGCCTGCGGCCCGGCCAGCCCCGGCCGAGAGCGCTGGGCCCCCAGTCCCAGCCCAATCCCAGTCCCAGTCTCCAGCGGGGCCGGGGCTCAGCCTGGCCCGGCTCCCCGCTCCCCACAGCCCCATCGGAGCCGGTACCCACCCCCCCCCGCCCCGGCTTACCGCGACCCCCCGCCGCCTAAAGCGCTTAGCGGAGCGGCGCCCCGCTGCTCCGCCGCAGGGAAGGGGGTAAAGGCTTTTTTTTGGGGAGGGTGGGGGGCTTCGCTTACCGGAACCGGGGCGAATCCTTAATACACTCCTCGAACTCCACCGTCATCCTGCCGGCTCGGCCCGCGGCTCGCTCAGCGGAGGAAGCGCATCGCCCGCCGGCAGCCACGGGCGAGCGAGCGCCCGCCCCCCCGCGCCCGCCGCCCCCGCGGAGCGAAGGGCCCGGCTGGCGCGGAGCCGGCGCGGAGCCTCCCGCGGAGGGGCTGAGACGTCAGTCCGTGGGTGCCCCCTCCTTTTCTCCTCCGCCCGGGGTCGCCGGCTGGGTCCGTGCCCTCGCGGGCTGGCCGGTGGGGCGGGGAAACGCGAGTCCCTTCCCCTTCTCCCGCTCTGCTTTTAGGTGAGGATGGGATCGCGGAAGACACGCGTGGAAGCGTGCGTTCGTGGGTGTGGCAGTGGCCGCCAGCTCAGGCTACCAGCGTGGCTGAGCGAGGAGCTGGAGGGGCAGGCGGTCATCGGCACGTAGGGTTGCCACCTGGTTGTGTGCACTGCAGGCCAAAACAAAATCAGACCATCCGGGATGCACCGAGCAATTAGATACCGGCAGTGTCAAAAAGCATTGGCATCAATCCTGTTACTACCTAATCTAGTTTTTAATTTTCTGCCCGCCGTGGATTTGCTGCTGCCACCAGCCACGCAGTAAATCTAAAGTTACTCCTCGGAAGCCGGTGTAATCAGCCAAGGAGGGGAGACATCAGGGCTTGTGGGTCCAGCTGAACAGATCACCTTTTCTGCAGGACAGAGGAATGTAATGTGGCATGGATAAACGAGACTAATCACAGTGGGCTTAATTCTGATCCTCCACCCATGGAGCACCACAGACAGCACAGTATAAACTGCACCATTCACTGCAAGTTTTATGTGAGCTTCAAACTGAGAGACAGGCCTGAAGTGTAAATCTCCACATTTTAAGAATATCCATCCTGTGTAATATGGACCTAAACTAAAACCAAAAGTCAGACATCGAGCCAGGGGCAACCGAATCCATAGCAAAATGTCACGATGAGGCCTCACCTCAGTCATGGACAGAAGTGATGACATGAGATGAAATAAGATGTTCAATGCCATTTCCATACACTAACTACAGCTAAGATTCAACTCTAAGCCAGGCTCCCCTTTTCATCTGAGTCCTCAGACCTGCTTGCTTTGTCAGGCACAGTCAAGAGTATCTTTCTGTGAGCAAAAGTCAGACTTATTTAACACAATTATGAGATGCTGGGGGGTTCTGAGGAAGGCAGGAAAAGGAGTTAGACCCGCTAATCACCTCGGTCCAGAAAAAGGGGCAAAGTGACCTCTTGTGGCCTCTGTTTTATGTGGTTTCATAAAGGTCAAATCAATACAACATTTTCGTTGGTTCTTCCAACACAGATGAAAGTGTGTGGATGTTTCTGCCTGTGTGTGTATGCACCGGCTCAGGGATTAGAAATTACCATCCTCTTTAAAGCTGAGATTCATCACTTTCATTATAATACAGTCTGGATGCCATTGTGTGAGTTGAAAGCTGGTTGGATTTTTCCATTCAAAACAGATCTCAGATGTGTATGAGGGAGCCAGGGATTTTTCTGTTGCTCTCCCTGTTTTGCTAATGAATTGGATGATTGTTTATACCGGTTTTAGGCTATCTATTGTACATACAGATACTGCCATTCAGTATTTTAGAAAGATTAATAAAGGTTTTAAAATACAGAACATAGTCATGAAGAACATCTGCAGCCTTTGTTTATCATCATTATCTTAGCCTATGTTTGTCGCTGTAGCTGTTATTTACTCTTAGCAAGTGGTAGCCTGCATACGTCTTTCCCTAGCCAGGCTGAAATAAATGAACACAGGTTCGCCTGAAATAACTGTGCTGTTTTTTAGTGGGGACTTTGACATGGCTATTGAGTCAGGAGCTGTTTCATGCAGGGTAAGTTCCCTGTAGTTTTGGGAACATCAGATTCTTTGAGTCAACAGTCCCAAACTCACACGTAACCCTAATGCAGGGAAAGAGAGTAGGGAAGGCCACTTGCCACAGTAAGTGCGGTGCTCTAGTCTTCGCCCTGTAAGGTTTTGGCCCCATTAAACCCCCTTTTTTTTTTTTTTTTTTTTTTTTTTTTTTTTTTTTTTTTTTTTTTTTTTTTTCCTTTGCTATATTCCTGCTCTGGCATTTTGAGTCTTAGTTTTTGGACATGCTTCTCTGAGTCAGGGGCAACCAAAGCCCTCAGAACTGCACTAGGAATAGCCCACAGGATCAATTCCCGGTAGAAACTCAACAAAAAAATAAAAACAATCAGTCCAGCTCAGGTGGTTTCTAATGGCAAATGGTAAGGCAAAGCCACTTGCCAAAAGATGGCTGGAGAGCAGCCGAGGAGACGAAGCACAGGTTTCCAGAGGGGTTTATCCCCTCACAAGCGCTGGCTGCGTGCCTTTGCCTCAGTCACTAGGTTTCCCTCTAGGAAAAAGGAAAAACCTCTGAGCACAGCATGAGGTGACCGAGGGACTGGAAGAAGGGAGGTGCAGAGCCCCGTATCACCCCCACACACACACCGCGCGGGGCTCTGACCCGCTGCCGTTCGCCTCCCCCGCCGGCCCGGGGCGCTGGCCAGGCGAGCCCCGGGCTCTGAGGCCCAGCCGCAGCGCGGAGCCAGGCCCCGCCGCCACAGCCACCGCGGGCCTTGGCGGGGCCCACCCTGCGCGGCGGCGGAAGCGGGCGGTGCTGGGCGGGCCGGCCGCGGGAAGCCGGCGGGGGGAAGCGGGCCCGGGGGAAGCCGGCGGGGGGAAGCGGGCCCGGGGGAAGCCGGCGGGGGGAAGCGGGCCCGGGGGAAGCCGGCGGGGGGAAGCGGGCCCGGGGGAAGCCGGCGGGGGGAAGCGGGCCCGGGGGAAGCCGGCGGGGGGAAGCGGGCCCGGGGGAAGCGGCTCGGCGCAGGAGGGCGGGAAGGCCGCTGGAACCTGCCCCGGGGCCCCGCCGCGCCGAGCGGAGCCGGCCCTAGGGCCTGCGCCGCAGCGGCGTAGGCAGCAAAGATGGTTTCTACCCCAGCCCGCTACCTAGTGCTCTTTCAGTATTTTGGCACTAAATATAGGTAGGTGGCTCAGCTGCCTGGTCATCCACGTGCGGTGGAAGTAAACCAGCCCGGGGGGGGGGAGGGGGGGGGCGGGGGGAGAGTTCGCCATGGGTGGTGATGGGGGAACTCTGAGGAGGCGGCTGGAGAAAGGATGGGTGAGTGCGGTGGTTTTGGTGAGGGAAAAATCTCTTGCAGAGTAGGCGAGAGCGGGTGGGGAGCTGGACTCTGCTTTCTGCTGTTGTGTGGAAGTGCTCGAAATGGGGGTGGTTTGGGCAGGAAGTGCGTAAAGTGGGTAAAGAGAAAAAGGACCGAGAAGGCAGCAAACTTGTGATCTGGAGCTGGTGGGGCTCAAGTATTGTATCCCATATACTGTATTCCCTGCAGCCGTTGTGGTGTAGCTAGTTCTCAGTGGTTCGGATGCCTGTGCTGCTCGAGAGATGCAGGCAAAGTGATCTGTGGGCTGTGAGTCCTGCAAGATAGCTGAGGTTGGGTTTCCCCTGGCCCTAAACATCCCATGTGTGTAGCTGTGCTTGTTTATATTAAAAAGAGTGTGTGGGAGAATTTGCACAGCATCAACTCATGGAATTGTGCCTATCTTCATGGGGATTTTATAGAATAATACCATCATATGCCAGAACCCACAATTATTTTGCAGCGCACAGTCTGTGTCACTGTGGGTACTGACCTAAATTACTCCAAGTAGTTACAGATAAGTTGGGTTTAGCCTCGGGACATATATCTGCACTTCTGCAGGTTTTGTGAATAGCTGTGACTTCTGTAGTAGAGAAGGAAGCTCAACACAAACCATCTTCATGGTTTTTTAGTCCCTTTATGACATCCACAGGGCCTGCAAGAAAGTGACCTGCAACTGGCAACCAACTCCTGGCCCTGAAATAGTTTTATATGCAAACTCTTTTCTAGTGTAATTTGCCTGCCTTATCTTCCTGTCAGGCTCCATCTGAAGGACTAGTCCATAGAATAATGTTTGAAGGATGATTTTTATTTCCAGCCTCCTTTCTTGCAGATAACCGCTGCATCTTTTTTCCTGTCCATTCATCAGAGTGTTTGGTCCCTGCAAATTCTGTAAAACGATCCAGGTTGCTCAATAGCAAACAGTTTGATGACTGTCCCCCATTAACTTCTGCGTGTGTTGGTGGACTCTATGTTAAGTCCTTGGGTCTTGACACATTGATAACTATTGTATTTGTTTTGCTCTGCAGTGGGGTTATGGAGACTTCGACTAATCAGTCAGTGATTGGAGTCCAGAATTATTTGGAGGTAGGTCCTTGCTAATCATATTGTCATTAAAATGAAACTTCTAGGGTTCCATTGTTGAGCTGCAGATATTATCAAGGATAAATAATATTTTTAGATTGATATTGAATAAAAGACACTTACATAGTGCTAAACACTATAATACTCAAAGCAATCAAAGTGCTTTATAAGTTATGACAGTGTATAGGTGGGAGAAATAGGCTAGGGTGAGGTCAGAGATATTAAGATCCTGATCCTGAAAAAGATGTGAACCCTCCAGTGAGACTTAAAATGGGGGCGTCTGGGTCCAGAACTCTGATTGAGAGACCCTGCTCAGGTGCTGAGCTTCATTAGCAATTGTGGCTTTGCCTCCACTTGTTCTTAGAACTGCTTCCATTCTGAGTAGGCTTAGCTGCTCTGCTTTTAGTTTGTGTCTAAGTGTGTTACAGATTTAAAAACTAGATGCTGCATCCTCCCGGGAAAGGATGTCTCCGATAGATGCTTTTGGAACAAAGCACAGCAGGATATCTATTGTTCCAGAGTAAAAAAAAAAAAAAAAAAAAAAAAAAAAGCTTAGTTTGCATTCTTCTGGAATTCTTCTAATATGCTGGGGAAAAAAAGGTATGATCCCATCATCACTGTTGTTCCTGCGCTGCTCCCAGGGATTTTCCAGAATGTAGGAATGGCTTTCAGGACCCAACTGTTGTTCGGGTTTGTAGTGGGTGTGCAACAGGTGCAAAAGACCCACTGTTACATCAACGAGTAGAAAGTGGGTCACTTACATAGGGTAAATGGTCAGCACACCTGGATGTTTGTGTAACCCAATTGTAATTAATTACAAGCTGCTATTGAGCTGCATTTATTCAAGCAATGCTGGTGAATCCCATGTTCCTGTGCAGGGCAGGAATTAAAAGGAAGTGGAGTTATTTTTTACTTAGAAGCATCATAAAGTTCAAAATGAAGCTTGTGTCTTTAGGAGAGAAGAGATTGAAGAGGTTTAAACTGCTTTAGGTCAGCTCACGCCTATGTATTAATAGCCAACTTTTGTCATCCAGTTCTCATTTTCAGTCAGACTGTCTAACCTGAGATTACAAACTGTAGCAGTTTGAAGGTGGTGTGCCCACTCTGCTTGTGACAGCCTGTGCTCTGCCTGCATTAGCTACAGTCCCGGTCTCGTGAAGAATGAAGAGCACGTCTGGGAGCAGGCTTGCTGTCCTACCCAGCCCCTCTGTGACCATGGCCGAGCCGTTTCCACACTGTGTCATGGTTTACTGAGTGAGGGTGGTTAGTTCTTGCATGCTCATGTGGAGCAGTCTGCAGAAGGAAAGTGTGATGAATTATGGTTTGAGTAAGAGTTCTCAGGGTGTATTTGTATGCCTTCTTGCCTGACACCATTGTGGAGAAAGTGTATAAATATTGTGCAGATCTTGGAAGAAGAGCCCCAAAGGACTTTCTATCTCATTTATCTAATCCTCTGAACCATCCAGCGTCTCAGCCCCAGGCGCCGGACTTCGGGTGAGCCCAGCAGTTGTTTTGCATTATCCAAGGAACTTTGTTTTAACAGGCGAATGGGTAGGATGGGTGATTAAAGAAGAAAAGAAGAAGAAAAAAAGAAAAAGATAAACTTATTTGGTGTTATCTTTTCACAGTATCAGCACTTTGCAGGCCAGTTCTGGGATATGTGCTTTGCTTTCATGTGGTGGTATTGATGCTGGGCACTGCTGAGCAGGGCTGTGTCTATTAGAACCACATGGGAAGTCTTAAAACAGCTTTAATAGAAAACTTCTGGGGCCTGTAGGAATTTATCTTCCTTCCTCCATTTCTGTGCAGCCTTGAACTTCACAGCTTTCCAAAGCCAGGAAGGCAACTGAAAGGAAGGGCAAAATTAAATCTGTAATGAGATCCTTATTGTATTCTAAATATGTTCAGACATTTGTTTGCAGTTACAGGCAAGAGGTATATACCTTATGTTTCATATACCTATGAGGTATATACCTTATGTTTCAACAACTGTTTAATTAAAAGTGTCATGGACTGGTTTGTGAGTGTCCTGCAGCCCTCTGATAAGGTAAAAGTGCTGGACTGAGGCTGAGCAGAAGGCCTGACTACAACACTTTGTCACTCTAAAGCGCTGTATCATACAGGACATGGAAGCTTTTGTAGTCCTCAGTACTGCTATGTAACAGAATCCTGGGACTGTCTGGAGGAAATGGAGACTTGTTTTAGTTCAGGGACAGATGTAGATATTTGAAGGAGCTTTTAATATATCTTTGAGGAGGATGGGCTTTGCAGGCCACACTTTCTTTCTTTCTCGGAGACAGCGTATTTGTGTTGAAGTACTTGGAAGCTCAGCTTGCTAGTGAGGGCTTCGAAACAAAATTCCAAACCTTGGTTGCCCAGATGGGGAAGCTTGAGTCCTGTGACTTGGCTCCCTCCAGTTCCTTGTGAAAACTTACCAGATGCAGGACTTTATCCACTAGTCTCAGTTCTTACAAATGTTCCTCCTGTGAAAGATCTCCTGTGTAGCACCTCTTGCTAAAGTGAGTAGCTGTTGCTTGTGCTAACAGGCACCATATGCAAGGCCTGCTAGGATATACAGAATTAAGTTCCCTTTCATATTTGGTTTGAATCATGTCCTGAGTGTGCTGTTTCCCATCGTGCTGGTGAATGCTGCCCAAAACAAATCTTCCCCACACGAAGCTCTGTTTTGGCCAGCAGCCTTGTGCTAAGGCCAGATATTATCCTTCATGAAAGGAAAAGGGGGAGTAGGAGAGGAGAGAAAGAGAACATATACAAACTCCTTACTATGCCAGGCAGATTTGGTACAACCTCATGCCTACCCTCTTCTCACCCCCCTCCCTACCCTCCCCTCCACTCCCTCCCCCCCCCAAAAAAAAAGAAAGGAAAATGGTCCAAGAGAACTGTCACCTTCAACCCATTTGGTTAATAATTTCAGCGGCATAGGAAATTGCTTTGGAAGCCCTTTCCTTCAGCAGAAGCCACTTTCTCAGATTTTTCTTCCTGGCTTTCACTTCAACTTTTATCTATTCCACTAAAAATAAGTAAGATTTTTAATTAGTTTCTGTTGACATAGCACCCGTTGAGTCGGTGAGGCTGTGATGACTTGCAACCAGAAGCTTGCATGGTATTATTTATTAGAACACAGCAATTTATAAATTGTGCGGCATCCCTGGCAATGCAGTGCAATCCCTTGTGTCTGTGCAACTAATACCATTATGCATGATGAAAACAGTAAGCAATCCAGCTGTTGTGAAATGGAAATAGACACTTTTTTTTTTTTCCCAAAAACATTCCTAATGCACAGATTCTCTTGAACACACTGAGGCACAGTTGATTTTGCATGTTCCTTTTGTGGTTCCCAGATGCTCTGCAGAGGTCGATGGCTGGTAGACTTCAGGGAGAGAAGTGGATGAACTTTTGCTTCCCTGCCATAGGTGCTATACATTAATGGGCCTCTTCATCTTGTCTCTCCAGCATTTGTATGCAGTGAGAACTGAGCTGCAAGTAATAATAGCAATCTGGAATGTGGATCCATATCATTCTGGCACACAACAGTGGAAATTTCAGCATAATTCATAATATGGAAGTGCTTAGTGAATTAAACCTGGTAGCAGAACAGACCTGCTAAGTGCAAGTAATACTTTCCCCTGCATCACTGGTATGCACGGTGCTAGAAGTATAAAGTGACACTCTGGGACGCTTGTTGTTGCTCCAGGAATATGGTCGTCTGGAAAGGCTGTGACTTGGGAAGTAAAGGCTAAATGAAAATGACTGAGAACTGGCTCAATGAAAGGTCTCCAGCAGGTGCCAGGCCAAGATTTCAGTGTTTGTAACAATTGCTGAAGAGAAGGGTATTTGTGTGCTCTGTGGTTAAAGGGAGCAGAGACCTGTGAACTCTGAGCACACAGGAGGACAACCCAGCTCCCTTACTCCTGTGTCTCTTCTATTGCTTTTTAGCTGGGTGGACATGGATAAAGTTCTTAACTTCTGCCTCAATTTCCCCCCATAGAAATCCAGATGATACCCAGAAGGGTAGGGATCTGGATTAATAGCAGTAAAGCCTTTTGGATTCCACAAATGAAAGGCCTACTTGTTTAGGGACTTTTTTTTTTTTTTTTTTTTTTTCCTGAAAGGGCAGGAAAAACTGGTTGCTACCCAAGCAGTTACTAAATGTAAATAATTCATCTTTTTTGAAATTCAGTGTGGGTGATATTAACAGATTAAAGTGTACAGGCACCAAAGGAGGAAACCATCCGCTGCCTGTAGGCTCAAAGGATATCTGAATGGTACAGATATGAGACATTTGCATAGGTGAAGGGGTCATTTCTGAATTGCCTGCAAAGAAGTTCAGCTTTTCAGAAAGTCTCTCTTTAAGGAGATTAATTAGGGTGGGACATAAATGAAATATTAAAACTGGAGGCAGCGATTGATAGTATAATATCAGTTGCATGTCTGTTAGGCTGGAAGAAGAATCCACAAACGAAACTTTCAGCTTTCAAAACAGATTTGTTATAGATGGTGGTCACATTCCTCCTTGGATGCCCAGCACATCCATCCATCCTTCAGTCATCTCTCCGGAGAGGTGTGCCTGGGAAAAAAATTGTGTTAGAGAAGTGCAGTTGTGAAAACACCATTTGATGAACCTTTCATTCAGTCCTGCACCTTTGTGGATTCACTGGCTGCCCTGAGCAGGAGATGCAACCAGATTTGCCTTGGAGTCTGCAATCTTCTCTTCCTCTCCAGTCTGCTCTCTGACAGGGCTCAACTCCCACTGGCAAAGGAGAAATTCAATGTGTTATTATCCAGCTTTGTTCAGATGCAGTGTGAGATCCAAAGGAGTCCTGCATCCAAACTTCTCCAAGCCCATAACAAGAAAGGAAGATGTTTTCCACATTCCCTCTCTCCCCTCTCAGCTGTGTTCCCACTGGCTGGTTTTTGCCTGATAAGAAAGGAGGGGGAGAAGGTGGAGGAAGGGAGGAGCCTGCAAAACCCAAACCCATCTTTGCAGAAACTTTGCTCTTAAATTCAGCTTCGGATTTAAGACAAATTGCTGAGGCACAAGGCAAGGTCTACTGCAGAAAGCTATTTAATTTCTGTCTGCTTCTCTCTGCTTAAGGGTGATAAATAAAGATTTTCATTGTTAATTATAACCACATGTGAACTCCACATAGAAGGATTAGGAAGGGGAAAAGGCTAGGGTCATTTTTGTTCTGTTTCCCAGGCCTTCCCCCTGCAGCTCAGTTACATTTTTTCCTTGCCTCCCTATGCATTTTAACAGTATGTTTCTGAGAGCCCAGAATCCTGTCTGCACAAATAGCAGGAGTCTGGAAGGTATTTGTGAGTCAGCAGTTCAAACTTTATTGACTCTTGGTACCAAATTAAAATCTAATAAAGGCCACTACTGGATTCACTACTCAGAGGTGGAGATGGGAAAGAGAAGGAAATTTCTAGTCATTCATCTGGTTTTCTGCTTTTTTTGTTGTTGTTGTTTTTCAGTCTTTCAGATATGCTTCACTCATTCCCTGTAACAAAATACATTGGATTTTCTGTCTAAGGGCCTGTCGTCACAAAGAAAAAAGTTGTATTTTGCAGTGCTCCAGTAACCTACTTTAAAACCTTACTGTAGGTAAGACCTACTATGGTTTTAACATTGTATTAGAAACGTAGGTATTCCAATAACTTCCTGACCTACCAGTGTTTGTCCCTTAACAAAACCCACCCTGGCTTTGCTAAACTTGAGCCAGTCTATACAGACCCTTAAATATATAGCATCTAATTAACCATATTAGCATCTCTTTTGTGTGTGCATCTTTATTAAAATACACTGTATTAGTATTAATGACTCATTTAGCAGGTTTTTATTTACTTTCACAGCAGGAGCTTGTAGTAATTCACCCAGTTGTTTTTCCAGCCCTTTGTTAGTGGGATGAATGGAAATGCAGAAACAGGGTAGGGATAAAAGCCAGCTGTGTGGAGAGGAACAGTTGGGAAAGGGAAACAACAATCTTATCTGCAGGTGGATTCTCCAACGAATCTGTGCCAAAATCTATATGCAGAACCTAGAGGATCTCAATTGCTGTCCTTCCCCTTGCATTAAGAATAGTAAGTTTCAGCTTGTTGCAATATAGCTTGCTCACTAATTTTTAAAGTTTTTCAGCTGCAGTGTAATTTTAGGGCCTTTTGGTTCTAATAAGCTTGAATTCTGTGATGATGTAAGTAATATTTGTCATTTCCTGCTTTAGTCTTGCTATGGCAGAGATCTTGGCATGAGTGAGACCGCACCTGGGTATGAGGGCAGCTCTAGCTCCTGAAGAAAACGGTACTCTCGAGAATTAGCCAAGCCCTGCATTGAGGTGACTGTGGAAGCAGCGAATATAAGAAAATGCCTTCTTGTGACAGCCAGTGGTGTGTGTTTGTCCTGTGGTTATTTGTACCTGCTGGGATGGCTCAGTGTCAGCTCCGCAACTACTGGCGTGTTTTATGAGAGCTATGTCTTGATTCTTAGATCTATTTATATTTCTCAGGGGGACTAATAAATGCATTACCTCAGTGCTATGCTACTAGTGGTCTGGTCCCCTGGCCCCTCCTCTGCTCTCAACAATTAATGGAAGCATGTTGCCCTCTGTAGCCCTGCTCCCATTGTGGATGGAAAAGAACTTCTGCCTGCAGCAGTAAGCCACAGTGTTTTACACACTTCTGGCCTGCACTGGAAGCAGAGGATGCAGCCGGAGCTCCTTCAGGCGTCTTGGCTGATGTCATTCAGACATCCTTGCTGTGCAGTTTTCATCCCTTTAAGTCTTGGGTTCTGCAGCTCTTTAAGAGCTGCTGAAGCAATCTGAGTCTGGTTCTTAGCAGTAAATTGCAGGGGTGGTGTCTGGGTTTAAATGGGTGATTCTCTGCCCTCTTTCCCACCCACTCAAGAATATAAAGTAAAGATTAAGGAGATTAATTTTTTTTTGTTGTTTTTACTTTATTTTGTACATGCAAGAAAGCTTACATGGTATTTTGGATGATCTGTTTGAGGTGATTTCAGGACAAAAGGTGAGAATCCACTGGTGCTAAACGTCCCCCAGGCTCCTCCCCATCCTCTTCTTTGCAGCCCACAGTAAAACTTCCAATTACTTCTCTGTGTGGGCAATAAGGAGACCTGTAATTAGCAAGAAGGAGGATGTTTTTTCCTAGCTAGCTCAAAGTGAGTCCACTATTCATGAATACATCTTGTGTTGGTTTTCAGAAGGCAGCGCAGAACCTAAAACCTGTTGTTCCCATCAAGTTCCACATCTCCAGCCGAACAGATGCTGGTGTCCATGCACTCTGCAACTCTGCTCACCTTGACATCCAGAGGGCACCGGGGAAGCCAGATTTTGATGAGAAACAGCTCATCCGTGGTCTTAATCGCTACCTGAATCCTGAGCCAATCCGGTAAGTTTGTGGCAAGTTAAAACCTTTTTATTTTGCCTTTTTTGGAGAAAGGACAAAATGTGGCAGTGTTCTCCCATCTTCACCCACAAGATGTATTTTCCCATTACATGTGTTGGCAAACCACTCCATTGCACATGTGCATTTCTGTTACTACCAGATCCCTGGCACATGAAAAATCAGTCTTGTTCCACCATTGTTGTTGTTGTTGTTAGATCATCTATGCTGGTACCCCTAAAACAAGAGGAGTTGTGAGAGATTGGGGGTCACCATATAAGTATTGAATCCACTGGGATGACTAGTGTCACACACAAGCCAGAACATTAGTATGTTAACTTTCAGTGTCGCTTTATTCCCCAAACTCCCTAATTTTCTCTGTTTATCCAATTAACAAAAACCTGGCTGCCGTATTGCCTCTCACCCATATCTGTGCAAAAAGATGAAGAACAAACAAGCAAACGAAATTGCTGTTAGTGTTAGCATCGTCTATTCCTCCCTTCCTGTGTGATCAGCCTCTTTTCTTCCCTGCTAGACCAAGGCTATGCTTGACATGGTTTAGAGAAGTTACATCAAAAGCCTCAGTTTAATATTTTTGTAGCAAGACTTGATGTTTTACTCAGTGGGATAGATAAAGTCCTTTCCATACTATACCAGACTGTTAATGATGAGGGAGAGTTGCATATGAATGTAGCAAGGAACTTGATACAACAATACAGAGAGCAGAACAGCCATTGCTTCTTCCTATTTTCTTCTTTCTTGTTAGGGTTACTACTTCTTGCAGAATTTCAGAGTGAGCTTATTCTGCATGAGACCTAGGTCTAAATGCCCACCCTCAAAGGCGGAAAAAAAATTATCATTAAGCCAACAGTTTCTGTTAGGAATTTGCATCAACTACATAATTGCTACACCCTGTGATTTCTTCAAAAGATGGATTGAATTTCATGTTCTTTGCTTTTCTTCCCAAGCTGTTGTGCAATTTCTCTGTCAGCTGTCAAACAGTTTCTGTGTTCTTACCCAGACATGGGTGCGTTTTTATGGTTAAAGTGTAAATTCAATGAAACATTGGGGTTTTTAGATTAAAAGCTGAATCTGTGCTATGTTGCAGAATCAACATGCCGTTTGCCAGCAGTTGCTTTGCTGCGCTCTCTTCTTTCTTGTGTTACTTTGTCTTAAAAACTCTTCAAGGCACAGACTGTCTTTGTACTGCATTTGGCACAATAGGACTTGAATCTCAGTGCGGTACCCTACTGAAGAGTGTGTCAAAGCACTTCAGAGTGTTGTGCAAGAAGATTGGTAATTTATAGGAGGTATGTAGGTGAGCAAAAGAACTTTGATGCAAGATGCTAACTGGTAATTACTCAGAGGCCCAGGTTGATCTCTTTCACGTTACTGCAGTCTTTCTGATGTCTGGTGGTGTGAACATAAAGGAAGATTATGGAGTCAAATTCCCCATGCCAGAGCAAGAGCCCAGGACAAAAAAGCCCATCCCTCCCCACCCCAGTGAAGGCACTGTTGTAAGAATAGCAACATTACTATGAAGTAAACTCCTCCTTCCCACTTTACCCAGTCTCCTCTACTTTCTAATCTCATCTTTGCAAAACAGGGCCCAACCCAAATGCTGACATAGCAAGGCCTGGGATTTGAGGACTGACATCATACTTGCATCTGTTCTTCATTTTGTAAGGGAGGATTCTAGTTCTCCAGGACTTGGGGAACAGTGAATCCAGTTCTGAAAGTGCAGGTGCTCAAATAGTTTGAGGTCTGAGGGAGAGGTGAATGTCTGTGTCACTTTTTTCCCAGGAGGTCTTTCATGCATGTTCCATATGCTGTATAAAGTGAAGAGCGAGTTAGTATGAATTGGCTGAAGCCGTGTCATGCTCTGCAGAAAGTGCTGATCTGCAATTCAATCAACTGTTTTGTCTTTTTCAAAGCATATTGCAAACACTCAAACTTTAAACAAAGGAAGGAACCTAAAGAAAGCAATCCCAGGTGACAGGGTGTTCTCTAGCTGTGATCACATTGGTGGGCATTCAGTACCTCTAGAAACTAGGCCCCTGGGATCAGACTCTCCAAGGTGTCTGCCACTGTTACTAGAAGGAGCGAAGCAGATTGTCTGCTTCTGATTGGCAATAGAGATAGGCAGCTAATCCACAGAGGTCACTAGAGTTTGAGACATTCCAGTGTATCCTGGACATAGCAGTGACACCTGCAGTGCTGGGCGGAGTCTGGCTAGGTTGCAGAAACTCCCCCATCTGCATTAACGTTGTGTGAAACACAGGTTAATCAGCCGCTTGTTCCAGCAGTAGCTTGCTTGGAGTAACCTAAGTGCTCTGTTGTTCAGCAGTCCCTGACACAACTCGCTCCAGACCTTGCAGTGACTCAGTGTGACTCAGAGATGGACTGAACGGGTCAGCTTCTGGTCCAGTGGCCATTCCCTAGACTGTGTGCTGTGCATGGAGCAGTATTAGGTGGAGTGACTTGGCCTCCAGAGTTCTATTATGTCATGTCTAGAGGGCATATTGATTCCAGGGAATAACTTCCAACCTATGCTGTTAGTCATGAGTGTGTGTGAGACAGTGGTGACTTGACATCTGCTGCTGTAACAAGGTACATTGTGACTGGAATCCCGCCTATGTGCCTTCTGTAGGCCTGTGCCAAAGAAGGGTTTAGTGCCTGTAGCTCCCATGGCCTCGGGATTGGGTTTTGCAGTGTTTTCCTGCAGCGCTTCCAGAGTTGTATGTCAGTGATGCTTTGCATTTATCTAAATACAGTGGGACCTTTTTATCTGTGGGCTCTCAGCTCAGTCAGTGGCTGGAGCAGAAGCTGCAGCAGCTGTCTCAGAGCCAGCTGCATTCTTTTACCTCTGAACAAGCTCCAGGGGAGCCATCAGCAGGGGAAGAGGAAGTAAAATCCTTGGAATCTGAGCTCAGGAAAAGAGGGCAGGAAGGCAGAGAGCGCCTTATTGCTAGAGGCACATAGTTCCTGTTAGTGGCTGTTTATTATGTTGTTTTAACTGACCTTTTTCCCTTGGACGTTTACAGTTCCTTTGACAGCCCTCAGACAATTTTGGGAACAGCATAAAGCCACACTGCTTTTCCCTTTTGATAGTAACAGTCTTCTGACTGTCTGTGTTAGCTTAGCTGTTGCTGTCCCTCTGCGAGACCCTCTTGTGATGTCTTGGAGTGGGTGAGCTCAGGCTAAGGGCAGCATGAGATGACAGTGATGCTGCTTTGGCTTGATACAGAATGTGACTGCCATTAGAAATGCATGACTGTCAGCCCACAGCAATCTGTAAGGGAAATTTCTCTCCCCTCACACCTTATTTGCAAAAATGTGTTTTAGCAGTTTGCAGAGTTGGTTGAGGCTTTCTCTGAAAGCAAAGGCTTCACAGTGGGTACCAGAAAGAAAAGCAAATACTGATTTCATTGCTTCTACTACCCAGCTCACAGCCAACCATCCACTAATAAGTCAGATCACGCATCCTAAACCTGAGATTGCATATTAGCATGATAATATAGGATTGACAGTTTTACACTTACAAATCTAGTTCCTCCGTTGGCCTCTTAATGTAGCAGCTCAATTCCTCTGCAGTGAGAGGCCAGAACACAAAGCAGTTCTCTCAAACTGGCTAAGTTGCACGTTTAACATCTGCAAGTTACTGTCCCTTGAGAGCTTTCACCTTCTTTGACATATGTGTAAAGTCTAATGCAGCTGCTGTGGGGTGGGGCTGGAGATGATTTCTTTTCAGACTGCTGTGTCAATTAAAAAAAAAAATTCTGAAATGGGATTTACTTACATGGAGTTTTGGTTGTTATTTTTGTGCAGACTGAAAACTAGGTCAGAATCTGTACACCCTGGAAATCAAACCCTTTCTGGATGTTCTAACAGTAACAGGGAACATGAAGTAGGTCATAGCTTTGATTTCCTTCCTTAAAGGACTAAAGCAGTTGTTTGGGAGTCAAAACTAGCTGATTTTGCAGCCAGAAGGTACCACTGCAATAACCAACCAGTCTGCTCTATGTGTCACCAACCACTGAATCTCAGTCTTTCCCCCCTGGGTTTAGGCTTGTAACTTGTGAGTTGTGTTATCTAGCCTTAATGGAATAAGTTGTCCTAGAGAGCTAAAACTAGGTTGTGACCATACCACTTTCACTACTAGTAGTCCTACAGATACAGAGTTACAGCTAGCTTTGTGATACCTTGACTGATCAGTCCTACAGCGAACAGGATTGCTGCTGAAGAAGGTTTAAGTTAGAGAGCATCTCCTGAAGGAGGCAGCAGTGGGAACTTGCTGACGGGAAGAATTTTTGTCCTGTGCTAAGAACTGACAGGTATATATCAGGAGGTGATAGCTTCTGGTAAAATGCAATACAGTCCTGATCAGTTAAGAGTTTATCAGCTCTACTTCCTCCCTTGGGCTGAACCTTTTAAAAATGGTTCAGCTGCTTTCTATTAAAGAGCTTGGTGACAGGCATGAGTCTAAGTGTATTCAGCAACCATCTCCTCCCTCTGTAAATACTACTTTCCCAAGAAGAATTCTCTCCTGATGCTGAAGAGAAAACTCAGCACTTTCATGTGGTTGCAAGCAGGGGGTGATGGAGAGAAAGATCTTTATGAGAACACATTATTGTTGATAGAGCTTGGAAAGGAAACAAGATTCCAAGCTGGCCAACTGTATCATCAGCAGTAATAACCTCCTTTGTAGCATGATGTGCCTCTTCTGTCAACTGATCCATCTTTTAGATTTGCAAAGTATATTTGAAAGGATCTTGTCCACAAAGATCAGAATATATTTCATAGATGGGGTAACTTTAGGAGGACTTCGTCCTGAAGTAGGGATGGTAATACAGTAGACTCACACCTTCTATTTCTGGTTTTAGTTTTGTAAGCACACAATAAAAGCTGTCTGAGTGACAACAAGGCAGAGGCGGGATTCCTCCCACCTCCTGCAAATTGGCATTTAGTTTCTGTTGTCAGTGGAGAGAGGGGAGGACATCTTTGTATCTAATATATTGCCATTTCGAGGTAGATGGCTTTGGGCTTTTTTACCTTCAACGTCCTCTGACACTCAGGCTCTGTTGAAAAGGTAAAGAATGCCATGAGTCTTTATTTACTGGCAGTCTTTCAAAAAATGGGATCTTAACAAGTCCTGCAGTGTAGCCGCTGGAATAAAAGCTGGAAAGACTTCCCCATCTAGAAAAAGCCTATGGTAGCAATTGTGTCTGCTAGGAGAGACAGGACAGGGTGCCTGCGTCAAAGAATCATGTGAGCATAAATAGGCTTTTCTGAAAGAATCACGCTATCAGAGGGAGTAAAAGGATGGTTATTTAATAAAAATCACGTAAGTGTTAATAAGAGAAGCTCAAGATAGATGAAATGTTTGTGGAAGCATGTAGACAGAGAAAAATAAATGTAATAATTACATTATTGTGTTTAGAAGAGGCTGGAGGTCCTAGATTCAAACTCCATTGCAGGCCTGGAGGATGTAGTTTGCATTTCTACTGAGAGTTTACAGCAGTGGAGTGATCTCCTGGGCTTGTTATTGCAAATCTTTGCGGAGGCCTGTGGCTCAGCTTGTAATTTCTTCTTCTGTGGTCTGAGCCTTTGCAGTTAAGGGATGTGAGACAGAAGCACTTGAGCTGGCAGAAATCCCTTAAGCACCAACCTTTTTAAAGTAAATAAATAGGTTTGTCTATTACTTGGTCTCAAATGGTATCATATTTTTTGGCTGCCCTGGGTCCCATCTCTTCACTACACCAAACTCCAAAGACAGAAAGGCACACAGCAGGAGAAAAACCTAAGGAGAGGCATCCTCTCAAGTAACACTTGCAGAGAGGTTATGCCTATGTAGTAGTGACTCCCTGCAGTATGGTGAGTAGCCAGTAGTCCAGGATAAGGGAGAATCAAATCCAGTGAAAACTGGTGCTGACATGTTTTCAAATCAGTGATAACGCTTTGGGGGAGGTGCAGAAGCACAGGGAAGCTGTTTTCTCTCCTGCCAGAGGGAAGGGTGTTTCCCTCTGACAGCCTTGTACTGTCCCTTCTGGCTACCAAGCTGTCTGTGTTTGATGGTAAAGGTGGCATCAGTTTAGAGAAATAAGGCAATTTCTCCCTGTTGCTTGTAGAAGAAAACATGGGAGTTCAGCTGCCTGGAAAGCTGCTTCTTGAGTTAACTGCCCGGAGCCAGTGGAAGACGAGTAGACATGAATATTCCCAAAAGCCATTTTCTGCACACGTGAAATGTGAGGGTTCCCTCGTCTGCTGCATGCAGCATTCTGCTGTTTTCAGATGGACTCGATTTAGGCGATGGTGGGATGCATCTTTTCATTGCTGCAGCAAAGTCCTATTTGTCTTGGAGGTTGTGGGGGGAGGTGAGAAGGGAGTGACCTAGTTTCAACTGTCTCCATCTGCTACAGTGAGCTGCTTTTGAGAGTGAGCAGAGAGGTATCTGCTGTTGGAGGAGTCCTTCCCACTCGTGTTTGGGACCATGATTCTGCAAAAGTGGGAGGACAGTGTTCATAAGATGTGCACCTCAGCTGGAGGTGGTGGGAGTCAGCTTGCTTTGGGAAATTGCTGCCTCTCACCGTAGGCATGGCTAGGAGCACATGTGCCCTCAGCCAAATACACAATACAATTTGATGGGCTGGGTGATGGGCTGGTTTCACTATGCAACAGAGAATACATACTATTAGTTGTCATTTCTCAGCTGAAGAACTGCTTGGTCTTAGCCTTTTGTGATGGTGTGAGTGTCCCCAAAACATATCAATAGATGACCCACAGTCAGTTTGTCAGGGTGTTTGATGACAGGGGTGTTGCCAAGGCTCTTCTGCGTTCTTCTAGTTGACAGATGTCTGTAGCAGTTTACAGGTGTGAATCCTCACTCACTGGTTAATCACTGGCTATCAGGAGGGAATGATATTTAATTAATTGCAAGTGCAGTTTCTCAAAGAAGCCATTACATGTGTCAGTTCCCATCTATGTGGTGACCAGGCAAAAGCTTTTGAATTACTGCATGACATTTCCCCCCCATTTCACTCATTCTCTTCTGTCCAAACAGCATTTTGAATGCCTATCGAGTGAGCGATAGCTTCCATGCACGCTTCTCTGCACTGTCAAGAACCTACGTTTATCGGCTGTTGATGGGTTGCGCTCATTATTCTGAAATACCAGTGTTCGAAAGGGATCTTTGCTGGGCTCCTGCGGGAGGGTAAGTGTGTTCCATTAAATCTCCCTGGGGAGCTCTCTCCTCAACACTCAGGAAAGGCTTGGCTTTTGGGGGAAGTGGGGAGGGGGCAATTTCCACAAGTGAGACCAGATTCCCGGTTCGTATTGACAAGATTTCCCGGCTGAAATCAGTGCAACTGCACTGTTACGTTCACTGAGACCTGAGACTTACCGCTCTCTCTAATTGTACTCTCAGCTGTACCTGTGATAAACATGTTTAGCACTGCTGAAATACTCCATGACTGGGGGTAGAGTCCATCAAGAGCTTTCTGTGTCCCTCCTCAAGGAAGTGATGGGCGTTTCCTCAGGTGACCTTGCCAATTCATACAGCAAACCCATTCAAACAGCTGGCTGAAGGCACAGTGCTCTGATAGGGTGCAGACAGGCACAGACACATTGCATGGCAGATCTTAAGAGTTTTAGGTGTGACCATGCAGGCAGGCAAGAACAAAGACAGAATTTTTTTTTTTTTTCCCCCCCTAGTCTGATTTCTGGTAGCAACTGCATGTAAATCTCATTCCCTGTCTGAGTGCTTGTATGTTTGAGTAGGGAGAGTCAATGACACTGTGCTACCCTGCAATAACAAACCAATGTATCTAGCTTAGTACTCACTTGTGTTCTTGAAGTGGCCACTGAGTCATAACACATCAGTGCTTGTATATGCAAGGGAATAAAAACAAATTCAGTGCCACTTTAAAAAAAAAAAAAAAAAAACAAAACCTTAGGACATGATAAACAGTGGGTGAGGAAAAAACAAACAAAACCCAGACGATAATTTGTTATTGTCCTTTTAGTTTATGTTGTACTGAGATAAACATACATTCAAGACCAGAGTTTTCCACAAGGTTATAGAAAAACAGGTTGGTGGCCAGTTGTGGTAATTTCATCACCACTATTGGAATAACAATTGTGGGTAATGGAAAAAAAAGTAATCTCAACTGTCCTAGCAGAGGAATGAAGATGCCATTGTCCTAACATTAAATTGCTGACTTTTTCTGTGGGCTATGGAAGGGAAAAATAAATATGAAATTGCAAAATTAGATGTTATGTGCACAATATGCCTTAATCTCAAGCTTTATGAAGTAGCATTTAATTTAGTCCAGACACTGCAGTTAATTTTCTCAAATGGCAATACCACATAAAGGATAGGGTGAGCATATTAGCAATTCTGAATGAGAGGTGTCTTACTAACATGTGGGATATTTGGACTGCTAGTAATGGAGACACTCACAGTGTGTGCACTACTGAGCACATCTGGTGTATAAAACACATAATACACATTAAACTTCTGTAGGCGTCTGAATTACCAACTAGGTGTCATCAGCACTTCTGTAAGTGATAGTCATTTTTCTTGAACACTGTGAAAAAATTTAATGATGTTGGGGAAATCTCATCTTGATTTTGTTTGTTTTCTTCAGAAACGTTTTGACTTCTGTTAAGATCTGAAAAACTTAGGCCCTGGGTCATGCATTCTTGCTCAGGCTTTTCTTACGAGAAATTTACAAAAATAGAATAAAAATAAGCATCTATTTAGCAAATATATCAGTAAATGTCTCTAAATTCCTTTTCTTGAGACTATTTTGAACAGACCTAGATACTTCAGCTGAAGAAATCTGAATGACATGTGACATTCTGAGTTTTACCCTTGGCCCTTTTTTCTGCATCTCCACCTTGGGTTTACACTGGCTTCCTCCTGCCAGTTTGCTCACTCATTCCATTCCTGTTACTTCCTAATTTCATCTTCTGGCTGTTGCAAATCTAAGGTTTGGAAAACCATCACAGTGTTTGATATTTTCTTACCTGGCAACATCTTTTTCAGTTTATGAGATCCAGATACTGCAGAGGATTTTGGTTCTCTTGTCCTGTGCTCTAGCCAGCGATTTGACTAGAGTTATTTAAATTGAACTGTTATAAGAAGCACAGCAGGATAAAGGCATGTACTTGCCAACCCCTCATCTAGCCTGGGATTTTGAATACCTTCAGACCTCAGGCCACTTGGCATCTTGGTTTGTGGTTTGGGCCATTACAAAACAAACTCCATCTTGTAAAATGTGTTTCCACAGTGCTGCAGTGTTAAATCTGTGCGCCAGGTGTAAGTTTCTCATCAATTAATTGGACTTTGACCCACCTAACATACTTGGTCTCACCTGATGCTCCTTTCCTTTCGCTCTGCATGTTTCTCTTCAGCTCCCTGAACGTGCCTGCCATGAGGGATGCAGCACAGTTCCTGGTGGGAACCCACGACTTCAGCACCTTTCGCTCACTTAACTCTGAAACACCGTTCCAGTGTCCGGTCAGAACCATGTTCCAGGCAGACATCCAACCCTCTTCTGGTTTCCTGTCCCACCACTATGAACACAGGTGAGAGCCTGGATGCTCAGCTGAGGAGCTGCTCTCATCAGCTAATGCTTGCTTTGCCTGAAAAGCTGCTTTCCAGCACCACTTTCAGAGCTGACCTCCTGTTTGCTGTGCATTGCCTTCACAGTCCTGTGACGGTGTCAGCAGATTTCTGCCTACTGGCAGCTTGGAAGGGACATTTCTTTCCCTGTCCTCCCCAGGGAGAAAGATGAGCAGGAATGAGGGCAGGGAAGCTGGTACAGTTGTTTGTATGTTAAAAGACAGGACGTTATAAACTGGTGGATGGAATCTGGCACAGAGCAAGTCCTATGAGGTCCCTCCAGCATTTACATTAATTTTGGTTGCTAAAGATCAGCTCTGCCGGGGGATGGGAATTTCCACCCCCCCACCCCCCCACTTCTGTCCTAGCTTTGCCTAAAGGCTGCAAATAGAAGGAAAAAAAAACACCCAGCACCTAGGTTGCTGGTATAGCTATGCAGATCCACTCAGCTCACACCCGGTAACTCCTACTTGTCTTCCCAGGGGATGTTGATGGAAAGTCCAATGTTCCTCAGTTATTACATAAACAAAAGATTGTTGAGTGTCAGGTTCTTTCAGGACCAGGTCTTGCAAGTATTGAAATTAAGTGGCTGGATATATTCTCTCTAGCAGAAACTGAAGTTTCCCCCAGAATGATCATGGGTATTTATCATCTGAACATGGCTTTTGCTTTCATGCTGGCTTCTTTCACAGATAGGTGGCTGCTGTGTTTCAGCTTGAAAGTAAACCTTGCTGTTGTCTGTCTCCAAACCATGTTTTCCTGCTTCCTGATTAGGAGAAAACCCTTTTCTTTGTAGTTTTCCCCCTGAGACCCTCCACTAGATTTGAGTACCTGCTGAGCTGTCTGTAACAGTAAGTGCCACGCTCTGAGCCTTGGTGGAACCTCACTGCAGGTTGCAGATAGCCCACTGTTTCCTTCTCCATGTCTTAGCACAGTGTATTTTGCCAGCAGTAGTGCAAGATAAAAACTGAAAAGGATCTGCAAAACCGGAGAGAGATCTGTATGCTCTGAATAACCCTGGTCTTTCAGTTCCTCCCACCGTCTCTGATTCCTGCTTTTCCTGTTCAGCATCGGTGCCTGTCAATACACAGCCACATTATAAAGAGATACGGGTATAAAGTGGGGTATGGCACTTCCTCTGTTACTCTCTGCTGTATAAGTGCAAGGACTTGGGCAGTTAGTGCCAGATGTAAACACTTCCCACCTTCGTGCAGCTAAGAAGCACCATCCCATGGGAGAGGGAAGGCTGGAGAGGAAAGTGGATGCTGACATGTGGCTGCATTCCTGCCCTCTATTATTGGGTTGCTGTTGTTGAATGGAGAGCATGGCCTCCCTCTGACAAGCGTGCATATGCTTGGGGACACGAGTAACAGTGAAATGCTTCAGCCACAAGATTGTCTTGTCCTTTCTGATGTGTAGTAGTCTAAATGGCAGAGTCCCGAGCTCACCTGCAAATAATCACTAACAGTCTCGTCAATCACCTGTGAGTGCAGTATGGCCCGGGTTACCTTCCAAATCCAGACCTGCGACTGTCAGTTGACCGATCTCTGAGATTTAATACAGATCAGATCTTTTTTTATGTCTTCAATTTTAATGTAAAAGAAGGAAATTGCCATTCTTTGCATAACTTGCTGCATAAACCCATCCCACACGAGGCCAAAAACAGCTCACAAGAGAGAGAGAGCAAACTGAAAACTGGATCAAAAGCATCGAGCTGGTTTGTGATGGAATATTTTTGCTTTTGGTGACACATGTAGGCAAACTTGTGTTTTATAGTGAGTCATTTTTATAATGTGTCGATATTAATTGATTTAATGAATATTTAGGCTGAAGGGGGTGGCTTTAAGAAGCCTAGTTTCAATGCATTAAAATGGCATTTCACTGTCTTAGAATATTTTGTTAGTAATAACCATGATTTTTCTGATTTAGAGAAAAAAGTTATGGGGTTTGGGTCTTTGACAGGCTAGGTATTGTTGGGTTTTTTTGTTTCTGTGTTTGGGGTTTTTTAATTACAGTGTCCAAGTTACTTTTAATCTGTAAAACTCTCCCTGTGGGAACAGTTAAAGTCATGGAGCTCAGTGTTTGTTTGCCTGTTCTGCAAATAGGACAGCAAATATGCTTGAAGTGCATCTGTATTTCTTCACTGCAGTAGCAAAATTAACTGTTCCTGCAATAAAAGGGATAGCAGTAAAAGCTTATAAATAGATTTTTTTTTTTTTTTTTTTTTTTTTTAAGCCTAATCTAAGGAGGTTTATTTTCTGTTTCAGAGGGAGGAATACATGGAATGATAAACCATGGTCTCTTAGTCAAATAATGCAGCTTTTCTTTCTCATGCTTTCCTTCCTTTCGGAGCTTAAACCAGTCTTCTGAATTGACCACTTGTCTGTTTAAAAGGCTAACTGTTAAAATGATTCCTTCCATCAAACTCAGTTGCTCAGCAACAGTGGAAGTGGGGTTGGTGTTCCATCCATACACAGTGCTTTTGAATGCTAAGGATGTGTGCAGAGACTTAGCCCCATCGCTTATTCCTGGGGAGTGCTTGCTCTGTCACCTGTTCTCAAGCAGAATATGTATTATTCATTGCAAGGTGCTGGCTTCTGCTGCCAAGTTGAAAAAGACAGCTGGATTTTTTTGCTGGTAAGCAAAGTTATCTGTAAGATTGACAAGAAAAACAAAGTTTCAGTCTTAATGGAAAGTATCTTGTTCTCTTTCAAAGTCTACAAGATGTTTTTCCTCAGTATCTGGACCCATCTTTGGTAGCTTAATCTATGTTGTCAAGACAGCCAAGACAGAAGAATCCTGGCTGAAGAAGGTGCATGCAATTTGATGAGAGGGAGACTTGTCCCTATTAAAAAAAAAAAAATCTGTCTCTCATGCTTTGCTGAAGATGTGATCTGAGTTACGACCTCGATGTGCTGGGTGTTTGCACATGTGTGTAGCAGTGCACGTGTCTGTCTGCCATGCGTGCCGAGCTGGGGGCAGAGCAGGCCATGCATGAGTGACAGAAACACTGTCATTTCCTGACATAAAGAGGAATCCGGAGGCAGGAGCTGCCTTTGCATATGCCAACATACACGATAGGGAGGGCTAAAAGCAGTAATTTCTCTGTAAAACCTGTGAGAAAACAGCTTGTGGCTGCTCCCTACAATGACAGTTTCTCATCCTGCCCCGTGCGGGCCCGTGAATCACATTGTCCCTGCTTCACCTTTGTCCCATGGCTCCCAAGAGCTGTCCCCTCTCCCAGGGGACGGGCAGCCCCTTTCCTGTTACTCAGGTGTTTCCAGCAAACCCAGCCTGTCCATCAGGACCCTCCAGACAAATCTGTTGCAGCTGTGCTCTTCTCACACCTGATGCGAATCTCCACAGCCCTTTGATACCCAGTTACTGGGCTCATTGCAAAGGAGGAGAGGAGAGGGTTTGCATATAAAAATCTGCTTTTCTGGACTATTCAAGGTAAGCTTTGTCTCTTTTTGCCGTAGGAATACTGTGGGATATAAGGAGCACTTGTAAACTGTTAGTGAGTTTTATTTTTTTGTTGTTATTTTGTTGTTACTTTTATCAAAGTGACTTCTATGTTTGCTCGGAAGCATGGAAGTTCAGGGATGCAGGTACTGAAGTTGAAAACCTGCACATTTTTTGTGCTCTGTTGGCATATCTGATGTCTGATACATGAGTGTGCATCTGTTTTTATATATATCCAATGTGCATATCAGACTTTTTATCTGTAGGAAGGAAATGCACATATAGATTCTTCCCTGCAGGATTCTTCCTGAGAGCAAGTTTGCATTGGGTTTTAGTGTTACAGCTGGTACTGGAACATCAGCAAAAACACAAAAAAAAATTAGAAAGCAAGTTGTAAAGATTTAGCAGCAGATGCAAGTGTCAGTGAAGGGTTGGAATAGTTAGCCTCAGTAGAGTTCTTGTAAGCAATATTGGTTACAACCGTAAAACTTCCTGGCAAATGGTATCTGTATGATCAGATGGATTCAGTGAGGGGAAAGGATGTCTTCTTGCATAGTAGCATCCATTCATCCCCAAATATTCATCTGCCTTTCCTTGCTCTGCTCACTCTTAGCCTGTAGTGCTTCTTTGTCACTGCCTGTGTTCTGATGCTGCAGCTGGATTCCTCAGGCACGTCTGTGTCCTGACTTGCTTGTCCTGGCCTTTCCAGTAGCACGTGGATGTCACAGTAGGCTTTGCTGAGTGTTGAAATTCATTCTGCAAAGCCTGTAAAGGACAACATGGCTCTCTCAAGCCAGCTCCAAATGGAATGGTCGAGTCGCTTTGCTATGTTTGGTTGTTTCTTCCTTTCTCCAGGAGGCATCACACTGCGTTCCTCAAATCAGTAGTACCTTAGAAGACTTTCCTTTTATTTGAATGGTGTAAAGCACCAGGAAGATCAAGCCCCATAAAACTATGTACATACAAACCAGGAAGGAATTGTTTCACCCTCGAAAATGTCTACATCTGAGTAGCAAACGAGCAGTCTGGTGTTCAAAAGCTCATGATGCTGTTTGAAGTTAATTGGGGGCTGTGCAACTTCTTAATCATTCTCCTCACATTCACCTGTGATTTATACTTGTGGGTAGAAGAGTCATTTGAAATGTGATTTTTGAACGCACTGTTTTTGTTCCTTTCTTTAGGGGACTGGAATTTTGGGAGTTGAAGTTCAGAGGCAGATCATTCCTTTACCGACAGGTACTGTTTGGTGCTGTGTTCAGCACATACTTTGCTTTCAAGAACCAGTGTCACTATCGCTATATAACTACTGACCAGTTTAACAACGTTGCATCCCTGTTTAGTGCCACCTGTGTTGCAGAGCTGGTGTTAGAGCTGTGTGACACACACAGGGACCGAGCGTCAGAGGGCTGAGGTTCTGTGTTCTTTGTTTGATCTGGTAGAACCGGCATGTCTTAAGTTTGTGTCTAAAATGAATGTCCGAAGTCACAGAATCGTGTGGGAGGATGGAAAGTTTTGTTTTCTGCAATCTTTGTCTTTGCAGTCTGAGTGGTAAAACCAACAGACATATGTTCTTGCTCTGCCGAATGGCACTGGGCCCAGCAAAGACTGCCTGGAATTTTACTTTCTGGCTTTGGAGCATGAAGTAATTCTCAGTGTTGCATAAAGGAGAGATGGGAAGACCTGATTCAGCTATGCAGGCATGACTGCAGGATTTTTCCCTCTGCCATGCTGTCTAGTCTTCACTGCGTTTTCTTTGAAATAACTCCAGTGGGGTTTTTGCTGCTATCCTCAGGGGAGACAGCTCCCTCCACAACTTAATGGATCACCTCATTAGGAAAGAGTTGGCTGTTCTCAGTCTGCCTATCCTGGCCATGGTCACACTCTGGAGACAGAGAATAGGCAAGAGAGGGCTTGTTTTTTGGAGGAGGGAGGGGGTGTTTTGTGGGAACAGCAAGCAGCTATTTTTTTATTCTGTTTTGACAAACCAAATTTGTTTTCATCTTGTGCCAAGTAATGCTCTGTAAGCTCTCTGACAGTGGGTGTCTGGATATGAGCAAGGGAAGAACAACAACATGCTTGAGAAGGGCCTGATATACAGCAGGGATTTGCTTCATCAGATGCTCTTCTGACAAGGAGAAAGTGCTGGTAACCCATTTAGTGCATTGGAACAGAAATGCTACTCAGTGACACTCTTGCAGGGGGAACATTTACCCGTAATACTCAGCTTAATGCCCTCTCTGAACCTCCTTTACAGCAGCTGCCTTACAGCGGGCAGGCAGGCTGTGGCGAAGCAGGAACAGGCTGTACACGATGAACTTGCACCCTGCTACCTGAGCATCTGCTCCTGCCCTCCACCGTAAAGAAGAGACTAGACTAGCTGGAATTCGTATCTCACCTTGTATAGCTGCTATGATAAATATGGATATTGGGATGTTTTTATTAGAGAAAAGGGTTAAACGGCCCCAGAAACTGTATGTATATATTTTTGCTGAACAGCATGCAGAAGAGGGGGGCACCAAGCACACAACTATTTCAGATGTGTGCCATTAGTCTGCATTTACACTAGCTAACTCCAAGTGTGGAGACATCAAAGCTAAAGTCACAGCATACAATGACCTCTAGTGAGGGATGGATAAAATAACATAAGTCAAGGATCTGTGCTTCTTCCTGCATCTGCTTAAAGGCAGGCTATTGGCGCTCCACAGTGCAGTTTAAGATCAGAACACGTGGGCAGAGACAGTGTTTGCCTTTGGATAAATGTATCTTGCCTTGTTGGACCTTTCTCATTAACAGTGATAAACATGATCAGGTTGCTTAGTGGACTTTGTTTTCTTCTTTTATAAATGTTAATGGATCAGAAACTTAGTCCAATGCTTCATTACAGCACTACATCTAAGTTTTCGGAGAGCTTGATGCACTTTGAAAGGTCATTAATAGAACGAATTTTATTTAGGCCAAATGACTGATCATGCCTGCATAAGTGGGGAAGTGTTCTGGCAGCAGCGTGAGAAGGTGAATCAGGACAGCATCTGCTTGACCAGTTTCCTCCACGTGGGCTGGTGCTGCTGTTGCCTGTAAAATTTGAGACTGGAGGACAGTTGTTCGGTGTGGACAGAGAAGAGCGACTAGGAGATGGTGCAGATGGGGGCCTTGGGATCAGCCTGTGGCAAGGGCTGAGTTTTGGTGTGGCTCCTCTGTCAAATAAGACTTGGGCCCAGTGAATCTGCAGCACGTTCCCCGAGGCAGTGTGTGCTGTCCTGCACACGTGAGCGCGGGCGAGCCCAGGCAAAGTGCTGGCAGGGTCTGGGAGGGGGCTCAGCTCTTGCCTAGCTGGACGCCACTGGGCTCACCGTGTTGTGCTATTTCTTTCCCCTCAGAGAGGCATTTCTCATGATGGGACTGTTCATACAAGCCTGTTCACTCCAGTGGCACTGGGACAGGGCCTAACTTTTCCTGAGCTTCATCTCTTGCTGAACAAAAGCCTGAAAAGGACTGCCCTTCTCTCTCTTCGTCCTTTGTTTCCCCAGACATTTCCCTGGAGCATCCCCAGGTATTTCTTGCACAAGCTTTTTTGATGCCTATGGGAAGCAGGTAGTCACCTGCGTGCTAGTCTCAGGATAAAATTCTCTCTAGGAGTGCCTTGCCGAAAATACTTCTGGCACAAGTTGAGGGACTCTTACTCATCAGTTATTCCTCAACATCAGCTTCCTGATGCTGCCTCAACATAAGTACCAGGAGGATTAGTGGTCAGTCCTCTGCCTTCAGAAGGATCCCCTCAGCTCACAAAAGGGGTGGAGAGAAATGCACCCACCACACAGGGATGTCATAGCTAGCTAGTCACGGGGAACCAGCATTTGGTGTGCGGGTGGCATTGGCAGATACAAGTCTTGGCCCTCCTGGAACTGCATGTCTTCTAGGGGTGTAGAGGAAAGGGTGTTTTTTAGCCAAGAGGATGCGGGAGTGTGAGGGGTGTTTATGCAGGAGGTGAGCACTGCGGTGTGAAATTTGTGCTAACCCACTAGGTCTGGAATTGCTGAGAGTGGAGGGAGGGAAGTTGTGACATGCAGAGGGGTTTGAAATACCAGTGTACTGAACTGGGGGGGATATTGTCTGAGGGGGCTGTCCTACTTAGGATTTTTTTCCTTTTGGCATTCTGAGAGAGAAGCAACCCCATCACCCCCCACCTGCAAACAGTGTTGCTTATGTATTAAGAACCTGTGAGCTTCCTGCCACAGACAGATGTGTGGGTGCTGCTGCTGTTTCTGAAACAGAAACCATCCTCTGCTCAGCTTTCTTCCCACATGTGATGAGGACAAGCCTTGCTCCAAGGCTGTGTACCTGGAGATCATTGTGTTATGGGTCCTCATCTCATTCTTATGAATCTGTAGTTGTAGGGAGGGAAGACTTAAAGAAAGCTGGGTAGTTTTACTAGTTCTTTTCCCTTCCCTACCACCAGCTTTGCTCACTAGAAGACGCTGTGCCTCTGCACGTTGCAGACAAGCTTAGCTGCTGCATGTTGTAGTGTCACCCCAACTGGTGCAGAACCTAGGCAGCCCGTGCAATCCTTGCTAAAAGGGGAAGGAGTGCCATTCCTCTGCAAACTGGGGGGTGACTGGGACTGCTGGGGTGTGCTCAGGGACTGAGGGAATATGATCTTTCTGAAGAAATAAAGTGATTGCTGGAAATGCTCCCTGGAGGTGTGTGGTACCAAAGGTATGCGAGGGGCAGCCAGGACTGGCTTGAACCCTGATAGGCCAGTCTGAGATTTGGGATATTCCAGTGGCACCTAAAACAAGGGTCAAAACATTCTTTATGTGGGGAAATGCTTGCTTCTTTCTTAACGCCCAGCTGGACTAGGAGCAAAGTGTGTGGCACGGGGAACAACTGATAGGAACAGTAGAGGAAGACCAGAAATTAGGCTTTCTGAGAACTGTGAGTTTAATAATCATGATGTGCCTATATTCAGGACCAGGCTAATATTAAGAAATCATGGTGATATTCTTTCCTGGGTGACAGGCATTGAACAAGCTGATTAAGATTCTAGCTTGACTTGCCATTGGTAGTAACTGTGGGCTGTTAAACAGGACAGGACTGCTGATAGCGCGAGGGCAGGACTCTCGACACAACTTCCTCATCCCTTTAGTTTTTACAACGGCAGCTCCTAAGCTGTGTTCTCTGTTTTCCCAGGTCCGAAGAATGGTTGGGGCTCTAGTTGCAGTCGGCCAGGGAAAGTTAACACCTAATCATATAAAGGAGTTACTGGAGATAAAAGATTCACGGGCTTTTCCACCAAGTGCCATGGCTCCGCCATCTGGACTTTTTCTAAAATCAGTGGAATATAATGAAGCAGGTAAGGTGAATGCAGGGAATGGCTTTTTTTTTTTTTTTTTTTTGTAGGAGTCACATCTGATACTGAAGGGAGCAGTGACACCCACAGTCTTCCTTTCTGTGCCATCTGACCTATGGCTCACGGCTTTGACGCCCACATCACAGTGGATGGGCCGGACTGTAGAGGTGTTGTTTATAGCAGTTGCTGTGGAAAAAATGTGTATTTTTTTATTCCCCAGTAGATTTCCTCCTCTTACCTGCAGGGTAGTAAAAGAGAAGTTGTAGTAACGATGACTTTGAGATCTCACGTGAATGATACTTTAAATTCTTGTTCTGTCCCTGACCATGCATAAAGACCAACTCTGTGGTGTCTGGGTGCCTACAGATCCATTTCTGCTCACTTGGTGTTGATGAGAGGATTGTACAGACTGAAGGATGGAGAACAGCTCATCCTGTTGCTTATGTGGCGTCTCTCTTGATTTAACAGCAGCTGATCTCAACTATTTATGTTTTTTAGCTTAAAAAGAAAGGGGGCCAGAGGGGCAAATTTGCAGAAGATGGCAAATGGATATCATGGAGGAGGTGCTTTCAGATGGCTTCAGTGCCATCTTTTTCCCTAAATCAATGGGTTTTGGTTTGTTTTGTTTTTTTTTTCCTCTCAGATTTGGACACTACAGTTGCCCCAGGAGAATAGCAGCTCTGTGAGATACAGCCGTGTCTGAAAGGACTGTTGTTGTGGATGTGTGATGGAGGTTTGCCGAGCGTTCTTTACACAGTGCACGGTCTTGTCTCAATAAAAATCATTGACTGTGACTGTGGGCATCTTCCTATCATTTGTTGTTGCCCTCTGAGACTGCCAAGGAGAAAGGAAGAACAACTCCATGATGCTTTCAGATAACATTTTTTTTCTTTTTTCTGATACTCTGGTGCCTGTCTGTCAAACAGGAGGAGGAAGGAGTGAGGCTTGGGTTTTGGGGATTGGTTGGTTTTTTTTTCCTCTGTTCTGTGGTGTGTGGGGGGCGGAGGGATGCAGGCTTAGAACAGAGGAGAACGTAGCATTTCCTCAGTGCCCCTCTCCTCTGTAACCCTGCCTCTGTACAGCGTAGTGCGAGGGACAACTGTTGCTGTTTGATGCAGTGACTTGCAAAACCAGCCTTTGAAAGCGCTCGCCATTGCCTCTCCTGGTGGACAGCCACTCTCCCTGAGCTGCAGTGGCTCCACGTTATCCTGTTCCCTGGTACAAAGTTGTGGCTGGTGCTCAGAGCACGCCTGAGTCTGGAGTGATCTGAGGGCATGTGAACCACAGGGCAGGGAGCAGAGATGACACTTCTCTTTCTCTTTTTTTTCTTTTTCTTTTTTTTTTTTTTTTATTTTGGGTAACTTGTGGTTTTTTTTTTTTTTTTTTCTCATGAATGACACCAGAATCTCTGTCTGTTTTGGCTACAAAATGTAACTCTGCTAGTGCCAGATTACAGGAAAGAGGATTAAAATTCTGATTTTTGAAGTTCACAGAAAAAACAATACCTGGTTTAAACACTCCTGCAGGGGAATCAATGTGCAGCTGAGATGCCTGGTACCGCCATAATTAATCTCCCCTTTATTCATGAGAAGAGGAGAATTACAGAGAATGCCAGTTTGTGAGAGCAGGCAGCCCACTTGATCTGGTAAGAGGATGTTCTTTGTTATGTGGCGATTCAAAACGATAGAGACTATCGCATTCAGATAAATAAAGGAAGAATCTTAATTATCTCGTGAGAGACTGTGGAGTTTCCAGTCTCTGTTTGCATGGTGGAGGGTCGCAGGGGAGGCAGCAGTTCCTTCTGTCCTCTCTTAGGGCCACCCTTGCCGCTGGCAGTGGGGATCGAGCTGGTGAGCGGCCCCGATACAGGACACGAGGACAGCCCGTTCCTAGGTGTCCCCTCGAGAGAAGTGACACAGCTCTTCACCCTGTGCCAGGTACCCGTTTTCCCAGAGACCTACTTTTGGCAGCATGGGAAGGTCAAGATACTTGTGGTTCCTCTCGCCCTTCCCGTGGAACATGCTGACTTTGTTCCCGCAGGGACTCATTCCCAAAGACGATGACAGAACTCTGGAGCAGTCCTGGGTCTGTGCCGTGGAAAAGGAGAGCTGAAGCTGCTGTGTCGCTAGCGTGCGACCTGTCTGTGCTTTTCTGGAACAGCCTTGTTGGACGAGTACCCAGAGGTGGGGATGCTGTAACGTGCTGCAGTGATTTTTCAACACAAGCACTGAGGCTTGTCCGTCTGTGTTCCAAACCTTAACATGCCCATATGTTTTCAGACAGTGGTTTGCCAGGAATGGCACTGAAGTCTTGCTCTTCCCCTGCTTTGAGGGGAAGTGAGAGTGCAGCTACAGACCCATTTCAGCGTGTCTCAGGCTGAAGCTCTGGTACATGGTTCCGGGGAGGCCAGTCTTGCTCTGCAGGCTGCTGGACCTGGTGGGCAGGATGGGCTGAGCTGCTCAGGGGTGGCTCTGGCTGGGAGGATCACACCTCCCTCGTGCAGGGGATACCTGGAGAGAACTAAAGCCTGCAGGAGTGCTGGCTGCGTGCTGTGCCCTCTCCCCAGTTCTGGGCGGGGGATGCTTCACCGGTGGTGCCCGTGCTCTGTCTGGGACCGGAGTGACGGCTTTTCATCTTCGCTTCCTGTGGTTTTTCTCTGCAGAGCGATGGGGGAGAGCTCGGCAGCATCTCGCAGGGCAGTGTGCTCTGGTGTCACAGCTCTGCACGGGGGAGCTCAGCACTGACCTCACAGTGCAGAGGCCGGTGTACTCGCCCGCAGGTTCTGCAAGAGGGACGATCATCTGAGCTCCGGTACGTTAACTTTCTAACTAAATTTATTACGAGTCTTGCCAGGGCAGAGCACCAAACCAAATACTAACGCTGTTTGGGTGTTAATCAAGCTAACTGCTCCTGCAGGCTCAGGTATCACAGCTCTTCATTTTTTAGTAGTCACAGTGCAAGACTACCCGCTGTTGATGTTTCTGCAAATGTTTCCTAACTTCTGGTTACTATAAAAACCTATGGCGCTTACAGGCTCGTTATCAAATCCCGTAGCTGAGTAACCCCGGGTCAGCCATCCAGAGAGTAATCTTGAAGTAGCCTAACTGGCTAACTCTGCACTTACAACAAAGAACTGGTGTGGGTTTTTGATTTGTTTTTTAAATCCCAGAGCAACTGTTAACAATAACGTAAAGACGTTTAATTAAAGAACGTGCTCTTAGCATGATAAAATGTACCATCAATAGAGAACTTCTGTACACACTCCTAGTCTGAATATTTTTTTCATGTCTGTCATTAATACTTGTTACTTATTATTGAGGGGTATTTAACATTCTTTTCCTCTTTATATTGTTGCATTACTAATTCTTTTTGGTTGGTTCAATTTGGACATCCAATATATGGGGAGATCTGTCTTTGATTGTTTGACAGTGATGCTTTAAAACTAAAACCAGAGAAACCTTGTGCCTGACCAGAGTTCAAAGACTCGAGCTTGGTTTTACATGAATACATTTCTAATAATTTAATGAACTCAAAATCCAGTGGAAACAGTGGAAACAAAAGCGTGCTTTTCTGTGGTTTGGTAAATCAAGTAACTTTGTTCAGAAACAGTTTGGTGGTGCTTTTTGGCTCTCTGGAAGAAACAACAACACTTCCAACCCCCTCCCCCCAAAAAAAACCCAATAAACAATTCTGGGGAAGCAAAGCTGAATTTGGAATTCGATCAGACTCCATACTTTTAAAATGGTCGATAAGTAAATGTTACATTATTGCAAGGGCTGAAAGTGGCTATGTGCTTGGAAAATATACGTTTAGTCATAGACTGTCACTTGTATTACCTGTCACAGGAAAGGAAAATGTTTTTCAGACAGGTCGATGGGGTCCTGCAGTGGGTACGTAGCTGTTTGGGACTGGGTAGGAGACCGACTTGTAAAATATTCCATGTCAGTGATTTATTACTCCCCCCAGCCCCTTCCACTGTTCCTTAGTCCTGCTGTAGTTGGGCTTAAATGGGTTGGTGTCACTTGCTGAGCAGGGCCGGGCGTGGGCGGCTCTGTGCCTCCCGGCCGCAGGGCAGAGCGGGATCCTGCTTCAGGTGGAGAGGGCTGTGGGGCACCGAGTGAGGCCACAGGCACTGAAAAAAACCCCAGTTACGAGTGGAGTAGGGTGGTGCAGGCAGCTTCTGCCCCTTCCCAAGGCTGTGGCAGCACTGTGCCGGGGGTGTGAGCGGGGCGGCCCTGCGCCAGGGCCCGGGGTGCCGTCGCGCAGCCGTCGGTCAGCACCCAGCGCACAGAAAGGCGCGTCTGGCCTCTGCAGCGCCCGGGACAACGGGCCTGCTCTTCGGAAAAACGACGGTACGGGCCTCCGCCTTCTCTTCCCCTGGTTGCAACACTATACTTTGAACCTAGAAAATATAGGCGCTTTCTTTTCTTAAAAAAATAGTTCAGTGGCTTTTGCTCTGGCGAAACTCTGAGATAAAGATTGTTTCAAGTCCCGTGCTGCTTAAAGTTGTGGCTGAGCCAGGCCTGGTTTTGTGTTCATTTTCCTGTGTGTGTGCAAACCCTTTGCTATTAGGTGAAAGATCCATGTCAGCAGATACCATGTAAGCTTGCCTACTTAAAGTGAAACCATTTTTTTCCTTTGTAATCTTCCAGTTATCTCAAGTGCTTTTGACTTCATTACACAAACTGTTAGGAGGAAGTGTGATTTCAGAGTTTCCTTTGGAAAGTACCCAACCAGCTTTGTATTTTTGTGCTTTCAATGGCTCGACTTTAGGTATGTGGTGCACACTGTAGCTGGGTTTAATTTCTCCACTGTCTTTAAGGGCTTCTGTTTCGGTGTCTCTGTTTGGCTTAGTTACCCAGATTTCAGGTATTCAGAGACCTGACCTGTCTTGGCTGAAGTGCTGAACCCTTCCATCTACTGCCATTACGGTTGTACGTACTACAGTATGTACATACTACATAATGTACCGTACTACTGACAATCCACCCTGGGCCCTGCCAAACAGGGCTGGGGATGGTGCTGCTGGTGGTGAACAGCCTGGTGGGGATGCCAACTACTTGTTTCGGTTCCATGCTTTAAGTACCATTTCTTGATTTTAACAGGAAGGTTCCACACACGCTCTTCATGAAACTGCAGTTCAGTCGTGCAGAGTACTGGGTTAACTCTCTTGCTGGAGTAGCTGAAAAAGCAGTCCTGCTTGTATTTTTTGCCACTACTGCTTTTCTCTTTTCCTGGGAAGCCTGCACAATCCCTTCACGGCAGCGTTTTAAGGACAGGATAATATCATCCATCTCTCAGCAATGACACGGGAATTTTGGTAGGGCTTAGGAATGGGGAGTTAATTACAGGGCTCCAAAGGTGGATCACTGCTACAGTTCTCCCATACTGCCTCAATTGCTGGCCCATCCTTCCCCAAAGCTCTAGCCTTCTACAGGTCTCTCTTGGCTTGGGGGGAATTGCTATCCCTGTTTCAGTATTGTCACCCTGTGTGATTTTAATGCCATTAAATACTCTGTCTGCTGTGTAAGCTTCAGATGCTTGAGTGTTAAATGATTTATTTTCCCTTAGAGGGGCACTGCTTTCCATCTGACTGTACCAAGGACGGACCTCGGAGCCCCAGACTTCACCAGGCTCGACAGCGCTCAGCTGTGTAGCTTTAGCTCTTACCCACTTGAGACTAAATAAACCTCAAGAACATCCCGAGCTAAGGGACGGCTTAAGACTTTTATCCCACGTTGGCTATCCCTGCGCTCCAGAAGAAATCATGGCAGGTATCTCCTGGACTGTGGGAGTCTCCAATGAGACGGTCACCAATGCCAGTTCAGAGCTCAGTTTGGAAGCAGACTTCCAGTATTCCTTGTTTACTGTCATCTACAGCATCGTCTTCGTGCTGGGACTGGTAGAGAATCTTGTAGCTCTGTACCTCCTGTCCTGCAGAGTCAAGCACACTTCTCATTCCTATGTGTACATGATTAATCTAGCTCTGGCAGACACCTTGTTTGTTTGTGTGTTGCCTTTTAAAATTCATTACCACCTGCATCAGAACAACTGGCTCTTTGGTGACATGGCTTGTAGGATAACTGGGACTCTGTACTACGCCAACATCTGCCTGAGCATTGCCTTCTTCACCTGCATCTGCGTTGACCGTTACATTGCGGTGTTGCACCCCTTCACGTACATCCAGATCAAAGTCACCCATTACGTGATGGTGGTCGCGGTCCTTTGGGTGGTCGCTCTGAGTGTCATGGTCCCACTGATCCTCGGAGGTCCCCTCCACAACAGCGGCGTGAGGAACGTGACAGCATGTTTTGAGAACTTTGCTACAAGTAGCTGGACTTACCGCATGGCGCCTTATAACATTCTGGCTTTAGTTTTTGGGTTTGTGATCCCGTTTTCCATCATTCTGATCAGCTACCCTCTTATAGCTAAGAGGATCTCCCAGATCAAACACAGCAATCGCAAGAGGAAGGCCCTGAGCACCATCTACATCATCCTGGCCATTTGTACTTTGTGCTTTCTCCCGTATCATCTCACTCACTTGCTCCACTTTCTAATGAGAATCCAGGTCATCCAGAATAAGTCATTTACCAACTTGATCTACAAAATGCGAAGGATCACCTTGGCCCTCGTGAGTTTCAACTGTTGCCTTAACCCTCTCTTGTACTACTTCACCTCTTCCACCAAGCAGTGGCGCTTCAACTTCAAGCTCAGATTCAGGTCTAAAGTGGTGTACACAATCTGTGACCAGAAATCTGGGGAGTTCTCCTACGTGTATAAACTACACCAGAGACATGGAAAGAAAAAAAACAGAGATGGAGTCAACTGATCTACCTAAAGTAAGTACAGTATTCATCTTCCCAACTGTTTCTTTGCAAACAAACCTGTGAAACCCACCCTTTTTTCATACGGTGGCTGCTCCATCAGTGCCTAGCAGCTCTGTATTTTCATTAGCCACCTAGGCCAGTCCCTGGGGCAGCTGTATTCTCTGACAGCCCCAAATAGCTCATGGTGAGTCATGCTGTGCCCAGGTACAGTGATGTTTTACTCCTTTTAACTTCGGGGTTGTTAGAACACGGGGCTCTTCTGAGAAGCGGGACAGCCCGGGGAAGAGTGATGTGAAAGAATCCAGGCTCCTAATGGACACAAAGGCTGGAAGCTGAGAGGCTCAGGGCTCTCCCTGCTTGGCTTTTCCCTATTTTGGCAGGGTCCTGCGTGTTCTCCCTAGGGGCGGCACACTGGAGCCAGCTGGGCTCACAAACTGCCTTCTGCTGCCATTCCACAGGTAAAGAAGTTCTCCCTTCTTGGGAATCCCTTGACTGGCTTCCTGAGGAGGATCTCAGTACAGGCTGGATTCAAGCTGGACATCTATTCATGGCATCTTAGAGAATAGATCCCAGCATTTCTCTGTCAGTTAGCCCTGTGCAGGACCAGTGGTCAGCAACCTTCTCTCACCAGTCAGAAGGGAAGTTACTGTAGGAGCTGACCCAGCTCCTTGCATTATGCAGCCCTCTTCAGTCACGTTTTGTGATATAAACACACTAATCTGACCTGTTTCACCCCTCCTCTTGTATTAACAGAACCACGCCTCTTCTGAGAACTGCGTTTTCCACTCTGTGAAACATGAGACTTTAGACAGAATTTATCATTTGTGGGTTACCGGAGTCACCAGAAAACCACGGGCCTGGCTGACAAACCTGCCAACAGTTTGCTTCAGAGGTGATTTTGGTAACAGATACCCAGCCTTGCTGTTCCTTCCCACGCCACCCCCAAACTTTATAAAGCGCGTATCTGCTACCGGCCTGTGGCATGCAGGACTGCTGAGCAGCTGAGAAGGGAAGAGACTTGGCACAGGGCTGGTTTAACAGGACCAAGGTTTGTCCAGGCAGGGCGAGGTGCCCAGCTGGGATTTCCATTTCCAAATAGAGAAAATGCAGGTGAAAAGTCACACTTGGACTGGGGGCTCTGCAGCAGGGGTGGGGGGCCCAGGTTAGGCTGTTACTGGACTCTGAACAAGAACTGTTGCAGCCTTAGAGGAGGGAGGGGGCGGGATTATTGTGGCAGGATGGTGTAGGGAGGGAAAGGAGCATGTCTCTGATGTAGTAGCTTCTCCTTGCACAGTGGCTGGTGCAGCTTCTGCCCCTGTTGAGCCAATTTTCTGACAGCAGCCGATGCCCCAGCTGACTCTGAGGACAGGAGGCAAGAGGCCTGGAAAAGCAGCAGCAGGGCTGTGGGGGTGCAGCGGGGTCCTGGTGTGTGGAAAAAACCCCCTGGATGACGATGGTCTGTACTGATCAGTTCAAGCCCATCAATACACCACTGCAGCAACTGGAGGTGGACGCAGAATGCAAACACCGAGCAGATCCAAAATTACTGAGAGACCTTGGGAGGCAGCGGGGCTCTGGCTTGCAGGAGGTACAGCGACCTGCAGGTTGAATCACACTGAAGTAGACACCTGTTACCGCTGATGGGTCAGTCACAGACCTCTCCCTTCCCGGACTTTGCTTGTAGCTTGGATGAATTTTTAAATATCAGTGGGAAAACCTGCACAAACTCTTCTAAAATATTGAAAAGAACGATAATTCCTGTGTTCCTCTGCTTGACAGGGCTTGGTAAGACAAGTGCAAATCCTTGCACTTGTAAAATGGAGATGAGGAAAGCCTCGGAGGGAGTATTAGCACAAATGAATCTTTTACCTTTCGTGAGACTGCTATTTTTGTCCCATTTTATAGGCTATGGAAAAGCTTCCCAGGACTGTTCTTTCCAACTAAGCACTATTTTTATGTTCTGGACAAAGGAAGAAAATTTTTGTTAGAGACTCTATCCAGGAATGCAGCTTTTCTGCAGCCTTGACAGCTGTCACTGAGGGAAGTATGGATAATTAAATAGATGTTATGTTGCTGGGTAAATAGCACCTTTGGGGCTTTATACTCTTGCATTTTCATTGTGCAGCTTTGAAAGCTCCTTGTATCACGCAGCACTGCTGAGGTTTTAAGGGAAATGAACTGGGGAAGGGGAAGAATGCTGAATATACTTCACCTTACTGGGTAAGCAACAGAAACCTTGTTCCTGGGATACTTTAAGAACAGGCTGCACTGGGCCCCGGTCGGGCTTCCGAGGGGGAAGGTGGTGAAGGGTAGACACTGTCACTGCAGGAATTGGACAAACACTGTAATTCCTTTGTTAAAACAAAACCAGAAAAACACATTGACAATGTAAACAAAATAAAATCTAAATCTCTCTGAAACACCACGGTGCCTGGTGCTCACGCTGTGCTCTGTGGCAGTCCTTTTTTCAGAAGGGATGTGAGATAGCTGCCCAGCTCTTCATCCTAGAGAATAAAGAGACACAAGATGAAAGCAATCTTTGACTTGACTTTCCCATTTGGGACAGTAAATTTGTCTCAGGTACCTAGAAATAGACTGAAATTCAATTCAGCAGTATCTAATATCGGCAGGGTTCAAAATTAGAAACCAGTCCCCTTCGCACAAACACGTTTCTGGCTGTTCTTTCAAAATACTTGTGTAAAACTCCCACTTGTCAAAGTAGGTGTCTGGACCTGAGGTGTCATTCTTGAGGAAAATTACCATTTTTCTTGAAAGCAAAGCATAAAGAACCATTGATTTTTTTTTTTTAGTATCTTTTTTGCTTTGCCCTCAAGAAGACATTTCCTTGCTGTAAAGAAAGCATTTAAAAATACGGCCCTAGAAACTATACTTTTGAAAGGAAAAAAAACCTCATGACTATGTCTAATCTTACCACAGTTTTGTGTTGGCTGGTTTTCTGCTTGTTGTTTTACACCCAGAAAATACAATGTAAAATATCTCCATGCTCTGCATGGCAGTGAGTGATACAGCTGAAAGTTTAGAAGCTGGATATGGTAGTGTCCTCAAAACACAGATGTAATTGGAATTAACTGTAATTGTAGTAAGTGTAATTACTCCAGATCAGTTGCCTTGAGTTCAGTGGTCCCAGAGAAAACGGACTCAGTAGAGCTCCTTTAAAATCATTTGTACTAAACCTAAAATGGTAAAGAAAAGGGCAGCGACTCACCTCATCTTCTCCTGGTCAAACTACTTCAAAACCAGAGCGCTGCAGACTCCCCCTTACCACAGCACCCTCCTGCGTAGGACAGGCTGGGACTGGATGGAGTTAAGACCAGAGTTGCCTGAGAAGTGTGTCTTCAGGTATTCCTACCTGGTAAGTCCAGGATACGAGCAGAACTTTGGTTCCTTGATCCTCTGAGTGGGCCGTGGCTTGGATAAGAATGGACTCGACTGTTATAGAACCATCGGGGAGATGCTGCACTGAATAATCTTTCAGGATCCTGGTAAGAGAGAAGATAGAGGATTTATTTGGGACGGAACATGCATACAGGCTGAAGGGTGGGTCACCCACCCCCCTGTATCTCTGAATCCCAAACTCCAGCATGTTGCTACTCAGTCCAGCTCTAACTGCAGCGTAAACCCCTGCTCCAGTGACATCAGCTACGCAGACTGAAATCTAGAGCAGTTGTGTTTTCTGGGCTGCAGAGAATTTTCTCTTAACTCTGGGGCTGGCCTGGAAGGCCAGAAAGGAGGGGGGACTTGTACTTCCTCTATTAAGAATGATAACCTCGAGTCCATCCCCAGGGGGAAAACCACAGCTAAGCAGGGGCTGACCCTTTGAGGTGGTTATAGACACGAAGCACTGTCTCGTGTTCTTTCCGTGGATCCTGAATGTGAACGCGGCAGGTGAAACGCAGCTGATGTTCTGCCAGGCCCAGCTCCTTCAAAGCCTGCTCGGGTGACACCAGCCGGAAGCTCTGCAGAGGAGAAGGACAAATCTATTCTAAGCTATTTTTCTGGGCTTTCTGAAGTTTCATTCCCCCTTTGTGGTGAGCTGCACACAGGTCTTTGTTCATCACTGCACAGCTTCAGCAGGTAGGATCATTCCCCTTCAACCCCTGAAACCACTGCCGCAACAGCTAGGGACGAGTGTATGATGGAGTAAAGGTAGAGGTAAAATGGTGGCAAAATGTCCACCTAAATAATCGTACCAATTCTTTATTTCTCAAAATGGAAGTTGGTTTAACCTCTTTAGGAGGAGGAATGGCTTGTTTAACTAGAAACACGAGGTGAGAGAGTAAGAACTCCTCCCTTGGCACCTTTCCCTCCTTGGCCAACAAACCGAGGTCTGCCACCAACAGGCTGCTCCTTGATTCTTTTGATTTCTGCAGGCACAGTGAATCAGAAAGACCTTGGATTCACAGGCTGAAAACCAGTCACCTCAGAATGGCTGTAGCTGCACAGAGTAGGTTGCAGGGAGCCAGAGCAAGAGACACCCTGGAACAGAAGCAGCTCTTCAAATTTATCCTGAGTCTTTATCTGTGAACAGTCACAAGACTGACCAGTAGAAATTGTATCACACCACCCTGCTCAGGGACACAAGCCACAAATTCTGAAGTTGTGGGACTAGTGAAGATTATCAATCAAAACAATTGATAAACTAAAAAGAATCTGTCTTACAGATTAATCTTCCCAGGTGTGGTGTTACTGGGATCCTTCCAATAATCTGGGCCTGCCTATTTTTATTTTAGTTCCTTGTTCACCATTCATACTCGCGTATGAATGATGACAGCACACTTGTACAGAGAACACAAAACAGGTATAAGAACTTTTTTACTTACATTATCCTTCATAATTAATGTGCCATGCATTAGCTTTGGCTTCTTGACATCTGGTAAGAGACCTAAACCAAGGCCAAGGGAAGAGAAAGATGACATCAGTAACAATGCTGGGCTTACTTTTCACACAAGACAACTGCTATAGGATTTAATAAATTGGATTTCTGAGTCCCAGCTGAGGTAGAGAGACTAAGCTTTTACAGCTCTGTTCTCCTGGCTGTCAAAGTGCCCCGTGCTTAAACCATTATCACAACTCTAGACATGTAAGAAAGCATGCTTAGGAATAGAGAACAACTGCCTCTCTTCCCATACCACTTCCTGATGTGAGAGGTTTTAGATTTTTCTTAAATTGGTTTATAAAAGTAATTCCCGTTTTCAGACCTAGCCAGTAAAAGCATACATGAATTTTGTTTTCACAGTGAAAGAGCAAGGAGTAGCAAGCAAGGTAGTATGTGTATTTGCTTTTAAACATTACTGACTATCCACTCAGAGCACAGCAGCTGCTTCATGTCCCAGGAAGCCCTCTCAGCTACTAAATGCTGGAAAAACCTGCTCCTTCCCAGGAACCACCGCTTTACTTCACCATTGCTGCTCGTGGCCCTGCAGCACCATCCCCACCTGATACAAGTACGGCACCACCCAGGAGCAGGGCCCCAAAGAGGACATTTTTGGTTGAAAGCATCTCACCTATTGCTGTTTCTCTCTTCAGGAGTCCCAGGGATATGTCCACAGGAATGCTGGGATTGGTGAATATTGTGGTGGTCTCTCCGTTCGCAGGCATGTAGCAGCTGACATCTGCAGTGAGAACAACCGCCGTCAGAAGGGCGGCTGCTGCCACAGCACCTCCAGCCCTGGGGCAGCTGGGGCTGTGGTTTGGGCAGAATCCTACTGCGGGGCTTCAGGACAGGAAGCAAAGTTTAACAGCAATTAACAGAAACTCAGTACCAGGGATTTGGAAGAGGCTGAGAAGTGGAACTGCTGCTCAGACTTACAGCCAACAACCTTCCCAAACCATCAAAACCCCGCTGGGGCAACACCTACTGGCCCAGCTATCCTTACCGCCTTGTGAGGGGTAAAAAGGTAAGACTGCAACAAAACTGCCCACACTCTGATGTTGATAACAAATTATTGCGAAGAAACCTGCAGACAGTAAGTAACCATCCACCATGGAGTCTGTGCTTTCTCCACTCATCACTTAAGAGTCAGCTGTTTCTAAGGAATTAATTATTTTTTGTCTGGAGCTCATTCCCCTTAACTGAAGTTGCTAACTTACAATTTCAGATGCACCCTGCTGCCTCAGTTTCTTATAGGAGTCTAAAGAAATATAAATTCAGTAAGTGCTGAACTGTAACAATACAAATGTAACAAACCAACTTGTACCTCAAGTCCAAATGAGCATTACAATGAAATAGGTTTAACATGTTAGGATGTTATGGATACTAGTTTCTTAAGGATGACCGGTCCTGTAAATTTTGCAATGCCTCACTCTGTGCTGAGCTCCAGGGGGGCTAAGTATGTGAACTTTTAATGTCCTTGCTTCTACAGCCATTCCCTTCTCAGCACCAACACTATACGTACGAAATTCCTGTTCTATCTTTTGCTTCAGAAACTCCATTTTCTTTGCTTCACCGTGGACCAGGAGAACATTTCGTGGCTCAGCCTGGCGAATCAGCTGCATTATTCCCTTGGCATCCGCGTGGGCGCTGAAGGACATGTATTCCACCTGCATCTTTACTTCCAGCTGTGGAGGAGCAGAAAGCACAGGCTTTGGGATTCAGGCATTGCTCAGGCTTACTCCAGGTTGTACACCACCCCCAGGCAGCCCCCAGCTCCTCTGTATTTAGTTTGAAGGAGAAGCAGAACACCTCTACTGAAAATGGGGTTGGGGAGAGCTGCTTATCAGCAGAGACCAAATATGATGCTGTGCAGAAAAACTTCCAAACTTGCACGACCAAACCGCCCCAGTTCAGAGCAAACCCTTGTCACACATTTGCCAAAACAAATCAGTACTTGCAGACAGTTGGTTATCAGTTTTTTAATATCCCCATCTGACTAGTGGGGCCTGGTTATTAAACATTATAAATATGCCTCTGACAAAGTGTTATGACAGAAAAAGACACGCTGTCGCTAATGCAAAGGGCGGGGGGAAAAAACCTAGCCCAACTCCAAAGGAAATATTACTTGGGTATTTTCAATGTTGTAGGTGGCATATTCTCACTGGACATACACAGTGTCTAAGTACCACCTCAAGTTCTGAAGAACTTCCCCCAAATGATTCTCCTCCTTTAAAATAAAACTTACTATTTGTCTTCCTTCCATTTCCAGCTTGCGCTGTCCACTCAGAATCTTATGGCCTACAGTTCCCTGCACACAATAGCCGGGCATGATGACCTGAGAAGGAAACCAGAAAAATCTACAACCTGCACAGGGCCCGTGTAGAGGATAGTAGCTGTTTACATAAAAGTAGCCACAAATTCACAATGCTGATATAAGCGTGTGTTCTTCCCATCCTACATACGACCACCCCTTGCTGGAAAGCTGCTCGCTTTATTCTGCAGCTTGTGAGCACCCAACTCCCAAAC